ACCAAAAGCTTGACAAGATAGAGGAATGAGGTAAGACCAAAAGCTTGAAAAGTGAGAGGAATGAGGTAAGACCAAAAGCTCAAAAGCTTGAAAAGTGAGAGGAGAGGTAAGACCAAAAGCTTGAAAAGTGAAAGATCAAAAGCTTGAAAAGTGATGAGAGGCTTGAAAAGATAGAGGAATGAGGTAAGACCAAAAGCTTGAAAAGTGAGAGGAATGAGGTAAGACCAAAAGCTTGACAAGATAGAGGAATGAGGTAAGACCAAAAGCTTGAAAAGTGAGAGGAATGAGGTAAGACCAAAAGCTTGAAAAGTGAGAGGAATGAGGTAAGACCAAAAGCTTGAAAAGATAGAGGAATGAGGTAAGACCAAAAGCTTGACAAGATAGAGGAATGAGGCAAGACCAAAAGCTTGACAAGATAAAGGAACAACGTAAGACCAAATGCTTGAAAAGTGAGAGGAATGAGGTAAGATCAAAAGCCAAAAAGAAGATGTTCTCTTCCAAAACTTGTTTAGTCTAAATGCCATGAAAGAATACAGTACTTTGTGTTTTAGTGATAAAGAATACCAAGTTTGAAAGATATAAGAAACTGGAAAAACAGATATCCATAACAGATCTAGAAAAAAACAAAGGGAGATAACAAAAATACGAAACACAATCCCATTCTGGGAAAAACATAATTTTCCATCTTGGTTATTAATAATATTAAATTTCATAGAAACTGATTGAAAATGAAAAAGAATATCTCTAATCATGACTGAAATGCTAAAAACAAAGGGTAAGTCATAAAGCCTACCATGATTCAAAGCAATTGGTTGAAACTGAAAGACATCTCTGAACAAGTTTAAGATTATGAAACAAACAAGGGCATAGCACCTGTTCTAAATAGAATCGAAAACAAAGCATCATTGCTAAAACACAACTCCATGTCATGGTGACTAAGCCTACTTAGATTTGGTAAAAACTCTGTAATACAACCTGTCAAAACTTTTGACAAATGTATAGAAATTTATACCAAGCGAATCAAAACTCTGCCATAACTAAATACTCGTTAATGAAGTTTAAACTTTCAAACTTTGTTTAAATAACCTACCTGGTACAACAAATGCTGTTTCTTTTTGAGTGATCTCCAACCTCAAAAATTCATTATGCAATTTGTATATCCAAGATTTGAAGGTGAAAGCACTTCATTTCCCGCCTCCCCCAGAATAAACTATGCCAGTTTGTATTGCTTGTGTTAATGACTAGACATAAGCTGAAAACCTTCTCCCTCAATAGTGTAACAAATGGCTACATCATAAAACCAGAAATAGAATATTTAAAAAGAAAGAAAGAAAAAAAAAAAAGATCATAGACAAGGAAATAAAAAAAAAAAAAAAAGAGAGAGAGGAACTATAGAATAGTAAAGATCAACTTATCAATTATACCACCTAAGGTCCAAATAGCAGTGACTTGGAAATAAGTTATCTGGGCTGTCAGGGCAATTTTATTGACAAAAAGGTCAACATGTTATATTAAGAACTTCCTGAGTGTGACAATATTATCAAATTTTATATCGTATTAACAGCCAGGGTTATTTAAGGTTGTGCAGTGTAGGTGGTAGAGGAAAGTCAGAGCTCCAGAGAAAATCCCTTGACCTGCAGACAATACCTGGCAACTGCCATGGGTCTTGAACCCACAACACAGTGGTGGAGGTTTAGTAATAAAGACAGAAAAATGTCTGATATTCTAGGAATTAAATATTAGTATACATGTTATTAGAAAGAGTATATAGAGGAACTGGCCTTGGAAGTTAGTGAAAGTGATAAAGTTATCAATACCATAGGTCAATTAATAAGCAATGCTCCAAATGATGACACAATGTTATATCTTCTAATTGTACCAAAGTATTTCTTTTTAAAATCATTTTGTGATCTTAAATTTAATGGACAAAAATCAAACTTCAGTCTTGTTATTTCCTTAACATGATTCTGAAATATATTATTTCATCAAATAAATGCCCTACTTTAAATAAATAACAATTACAGAAATTTTTGTTGTGAAACGTAACATGACCTAGGGGAACAAACTGAAGGTTTATATTCCGACATCATCAAATAAAGAGAAAGCGTTAAGAATATCACAAATTTTTGCATCAGTCTCATGTCAAATACATAAAGTTTATACGGATTTCATGACGGGGTTTGACAAAGTCTCGACGTCTCATAAAGAAACTGTCAGCTTACTGAATTAATAAAAAGGTAATGAATTAGATACAAGACTTCCTAAGTAACAGACTTCTGAGAGTATTGGTCGAGGGAAAAAATCCAAAAAGTGGCATTCCACAAGGAAACGTTTTTGGTCATTTCATTTGCTGCTTATATCAGTTATTTACCTAAAGTACCCCTATCTCCCATCTGTTTTGTTGGAGGATAACACAAAGTTGTACAGACAAATAAATAAGGAAGATTCTACAGAATGATATGAACAAACTGCAAAATTGGTCAGCAAAGTGGCTACTTTAAATCTACCCAGAAAGATGTTAGATTCTGTCAATCAAGCCTAATGGGAAAAGGAACTACTTTATATCGGGAACTGGAGGGGAGCAAACTGTCATAGGAAACATTACATAAGATCTCAGTATCACAATCGACGAGGATCTAAATTTCAGTATCCATATCAATCAAATCGTGCATTAGCAAGGCAGGATTGATATGTAGATATTTTGTTTATTGAGACAAGTCAATGTTTAAACTCTTGTTTAATGCACTAGTTAGACTGCACCTAGAATATGTTTCTAATGTGTGGAATTCATACAAGGCCAAAGATATCAATATTATTAAAAATGTACAAAGAAGAGCTACAAACTTGTACTCAGTTTTAAAAATCTGATATGCGAACTGCATTTACAACAACTTGGCTTGCCAACTTTGAAACATTGTTGCACAAGAGGAGATCTATCAACACCTTTAAAATCATAAGAAAAATTTACGGTGAAAGGGTCACTAGGAACGCTTTATAACAATACTGGTAGGACAAAGGGAGATTCCATGAAAATTTACAAAATGGGTGGCCGTCCAAATGGAAGAAAACAATTTTAATTTCCAAGTAGTTTATATTTGGATAGTTTACCTCAGCATGTGGTTCATGCTTCTACTGTGAAGCAGTTTGACATCTTGTGAGACAGACATTGGAAAATTATTATAGTGCCATTCAACAACTGATTACCTGAAATTTTGCACCTGAAGTAATGTACATTTTAATTTTTAAATATATCTGATATGGACATAGAGGCTGTATGCCTGCATCAATTAGCAGTCATAATAAATCAATAAATATTGTTTTCATGAATGTTTGCAAACATATCTAAGTAGTGTGATAAACAGAATCTTACATTTGTTTCCATTTCCTATGAGAGATATGAAACTCCTTACCAGTGTTTCATCTTACCTTGCTAGAGGCTGGGTAAAATGACAATTCCAAAGACTTGTCTCCTAAACTTCTTACAAATGGAAACTTGTCGTACATCCTCCATCACACATTTGATAAAACTTTCAATTATCTATTGACAGGAAGTTTAACAGTTCAGCATCATGCATTTACATACAAGTTTACACCAATCAGTAAGAGAGAAATCACAGAACAATCACCATGATATCATTAGAAATTATAGTTGTCAAATCATGGACACTAGATCTTATAAAATCATTCATTAACATTTCCATTCTAACAATCAAATAAAATAATCTCATTCATAATTAAAATATTCAACTGTCACCAAATAATTCCTGACAAACAACAATATTCTTCACTTGGTAACCAAAAAGTGTACCATGTTAATTCCATACTTATGTGTTATACAACAAGACAATAACAAGGTTTGTATGACTATTCATACAACACACATAACAATAAGGTAGTTACAGGGCCTACATCTTCAATCATGTTCAATACAAATATGTAAATAAGGGAAGACAGATATGTGGGGTTTTATAATTAGCATTGTAATGCTACATTTGTAGAGTGATTGTGAGTCAAATGCCCTGGACAGTTTGGATGAGATTGAGCACCATTTTGGAAGGAAATATGATGACAGTGAGACAACATGTTGAATGATCTGGAAATCTTTGATGAAATTGAGCACCATTTCAGAAAAAAAAAAACATGAAATGAAGTTTCCAGGACACTTCAATTAAAAGAAAAAGCCCTAGTTTTTAAAGAGAGAGAAAAAAAAAGGGAGATATATGACTAATATGAGAACTTTCTGAACAAAAGGTCAGTAACCAGGTACTTTTGTTCTCTTGTAAAACAGAAAATTCCACTTTGAAATTATATGTTCTCCGAAATATTACCATCTTTTATCAAACTTTTTCATGTCTGGCCTAAAAAGTGGAATATTATTGATATACAAGAAATGCGAGTCATTATGTTTCGCCTGTTCCCTTATGTTGTTATGGTATTTTAAAGTGGATTGCCGAAAATAATGAAATTTATGTTGTTTCCTCCTCAAAATAATTTCTAAATTTGTGTTAATCAATAAAAAAAAGTATCATCCTTCTTAAGAAGGGAGAGGAAACTTGTTTCATATTTTACAGTAAATCTGCAGTAAACAGAACTAGCCATAAAGGATTATATGACATTTCTCAACACCTTTTTTCCATAAATGTGAAAAAAAAACAATAAAAAAAATTCATGAAATCTATTTGCTGCTCATACAACAATGTAACTTGACTTCAAGTCTGATTGGAACAGCACCTGCACTTTATGACAACTTATCAGCATCCCTGATTGTTAAGACTTTCTAGATAGTAAAATCTGGAAGATATATTGTAAAAGATGAATGTGTTGAGGTCTGTATCATCTAACCATATATACACTTGAGCGACAGACGCTGCCACATGAAAAGTAACACTGAAGTCTCACAACTGCTGAGACAATTATATGTTAGAGAAACCAGAAAGGGTCGTTCCTGACTGGCTGTATGTACGCATGCAATGTAGCACCTGTAGAAAGCGACCAGTTTGTCAGCTGAAGTCACCTGACAGAAATAAGCGTGGTTTCTCTTTTCTACTCTGGCCCTGTTTCATTTCCTGGACGGATAATGGAGGGATATTTTCCTTACGTGTACCTGTAGCTGCCAAATTCTGGTAAGCTCTTTGAGCCTTCTGCAATTGCTGCAACATGAAGAAAAATTAAAAAGATAGTATGATAATATCCATCCTGGAAAGATAATGTTCATTGTTTATACTAAACATGCTTACAACTTTTTGTGCTTTACATATTTAAATACAAATCTCTAACATTAACGATTAAGCAACAGTACAGTTCATTTAGAAGGAACCCATGCTACCAGTGCATACCTCTCTAAGTGATGTGTTTTCTTCTTTAAGCATCAAATGGTACTGAATCTTTTGTTTGTGATTCTGATGTCCCTGAAGCTTTACATTTTCTTTAGAAAGTTCTTCATGTTTAGCTTTCAAAGTTTCAATTTCCTGAAAACAATTTATTGTAGACAATTAAATTCAACACACAGAAATCACACTTTTGTTCTATAAATTTCAAAGGTTGTGTTTTGTTCTCTACATCATCAGCATGTGAGCTGTTTGAGAAAAGCACACCTATTGATGACATACTGATGTGATGACCAATTGATTGATGTGATGACCAATAGATTGATGTGATGACCAATTGATGTGATGTGATGACCAATAGATTGATGTGATGGCCAATTGATGTGATGTGATGACATATTGATGTGATGTGATGACCAGTAGATTGATGTGATGACCAATAGACTGATGTGATGACCAATTGATTGATGTGATGACCAATAGATTGATGTGATGACCAATTGATGTGATGTGATGACCAATAGATTGATGTGATGACCAATTGATGTGATGACCAATAGATTGATGTGATGACCAATAGATTGATGTGATGACCAATTGATTGATGTGATGACCAATAGATTGATGTGATGACCAATAGATTGATGTGATGACCAATAGATTGATGTGATGACATATTGATGTGATGACAATAGACTGATGTGATGACCAATTGATTGATGTGATGACCAATAGACTGATGTGATGACCAATTGATTGATGTGATGACATATTGATGTGATGTGATGACATATTGATGTGATGACCAATAGATTGATGTGATGACCAATAGATTGATGTGATGACATATTGATGTGATGTGATGACCAATAGATTGATGTGATGACCAATAGATTGATGTGATGACCAATTGATTGATGTGATGACATATTGATGTGATGACCAATAGATTGATGTGATGACCAATTGATGTGATGTGATGACCAATAGATTGATGTGATGTGATGACATATTGATGTGATGTGATGACCAGTAGATTGATGTGATGACCAATAGACTGATGTGATGACCAATTGATTGATGTGATGACCAATAGATTGATGTGATGACCAATTGATGTGATGTGATGACATATTGATGTGATGTGATGACCAATAGATTGATGTGATGACCAATTGATGTGATGACCAATAGATTGATGTGATGACCAATAGATTGATGTGATGACCAATTGATTGATGTGATGACCAATAGATTGATGTGATGACATATTGATGTGATGACAATAGACTGATGTGATGACCAATTGATTGATGTGATGACCAATAGACTGATGTGATGACCAATTGATTGATGTGATGACATATTGATGTGATGTGATGACATATTGATGTGATGACCAATAGATTGATGTGATGACCAATAGATTGATGTGATGACATATTGATGTGATGTGATGACCAATAGATTGATGTGATGACCAATAGATTGATGTGATGACCAATTGATTGATGTGATGACATATTGATGTGATGACCAATAGATTGATGTGATGACCAATTGATGTGATGTGATGACCAATAGATTGATGTGATGTGATGACATATTGATGTGATGTGATGACCAGTAGATTGATGTGATGACCAATAGACTGATGTGATGACCAATTGATTGATGTGATGACCAATAGATTGATGTGATGACCAATTGATGTGATGTGATGACATATTGATGTGATGTGATGACCAATAGATTGATGTGATGACCAATTGATGTGATGACCAATAGATTGATGTGATGACCAATAGATTGATGTGATGACCAATTGATTGATGTGATGACCAATAGATTGATGTGATGACCAATAGATTGATGTGATGACCAATAGATTGATGTGATGACATATTGATGTGATGACCAATTGATTGATGTGATGACCAATAGACTGATGTGATGACCAATTGATTGATGTGATGACATATTGATGTGATGTGATGACATATTGATGTGATGACCAATAGATTGATGTGATGACCAATAGATTGATGTGATGACATATTGATGTGATGTGATGACCAATAGATTGATGTGATGACCAATAGATTGATGTGATGACCAATTGATTGATGTGATGACATATTGATGTGATGACCAATTGATTGATGTGATGACCAATTGATTGATGTGATGACATATTGATGTGATGACCAATAGATTGATGTGATGACCAATTGATTGATGAGATGACATATTGATGTGATGACCAATAGATTGATGTGATGTGATGACCAATAGACTGATGTGATGACCAATAGACTGATGTGATGACCAATTGATTGATGTGATGACATATTGATGTGATGTGATGACCAATAGACTGATGTGATGACCAATTGATGTGATGTGATGACCAATAGATTGATGTGATGACCAATTGATGTGATGACCAATAGATTGATGTGATGACCAATAGATTGATGTGATGACCAATTGATTGATGTGATGACCAATAGATTGATGTGATGACCAATAGATTGATGTGATGACCAATAGATTGATGTGATGACATATTGATGTGATGACCAATTGATTGATGTGATGACCAATAGACTGATGTGATGACCAATTGATTGATGTGATGACATATTGATGTGATGTGATGACATATTGATGTGATGACCAATAGATTGATGTGATGACCAATAGATTGATGTGATGACATATTGATGTGATGTGATGACCAATAGATTGATGTGATGACCAATAGATTGATGTGATGACCAATTGATTGATGTGATGACATATTGATGTGATGACCAATTGATTGATGTGATGACCAATTGATTGATGTGATGACATATTGATGTGATGACCAATAGATTGATGTGATGACCAATTGATTGATGAGATGACATATTGATGTGATGACCAATAGATTGATGTGATGTGATGACCAATAGACTGATGTGATGACCAATAGACTGATGTGATGACCAATTGATTGATGTGATGACATATTGATGTGATGTGATGACCAATAGACTGATGTGATGACCAATTGATTGATGTGATGACCAATAGATTGATGTGATGACCAATAGATTGATGTGATGACATCTTGATGTGATGACCAATAGACTGATGTGATGTGATGTGATGACCAATAGATTGACGTGATGACCAATAGATTGATGTGATGACCAATAGATTGATGTGATGACCAATAGATTGACGTGATGACATATTGATACACAAGTATCAATAACAAAAATAACATTTAATTATATGTCTCACCTTTTACCACTAAAGAAATGCAACATACGTTCAAATGTATGTACCTTTCGTCTAAAAAATACCAAATTTCAATGTTTAAATATTGTTGCATTGTACAATATGAAGTAAAAATATTGTGAATTATCAAAATTTATTCCAATAATTTAAAACTTTTACCACAAAATTGTCACTTTTATGGGAGAGAAAGAGGTAAATTTATCCGATATTTTACAATACTTTTAAGTAAATAGAACAAACTGGAGTTAAAGAGCAGGGGTATAAAGGATAAGTGAAGGCATTATGATCAACAATGGACAAAGCAGGACTCTGCAGATCAAACAACATTAAAAAGATAATTCCCCAGCTGACTTCGCTGAATGAATTGCACAACCCAAAACTACCCCCCATACCTAACATCAGCATTATAGTTGACATATTTAATCATTACTAGCGCATTTAATCACTTAGCAAAACTTAGAAAATGTTTCAGGATAAAAGCAAATGTAGATGTCAATGTAGATGTGTCTGAACAACATAAATGTCACCTCAGTAATCAAGGAGAGGTTTGGAACTTTTCAGTGTTATTGACTACAACAAGAGTGTTAAGTGTTTTAAAATTCCCACTTGGGTTAGAAAAGGTTTTCTTATATTGTTGTAACTGTTTTGGAGAAACTTTAACTTAACTACTTAAATGGCTACAACTGATCCTAATAAAATTAAAACTTGGTATATTATCATTGTACAACTTTATAACAAACTCTAATTCTAAATCTACATCTGTTAGAGTAACTGAACACAAGAAAATTTGACAGAATAATGGCCAAGGGTAACCATAAAATGGCAAGACCATAAAAAGTCCCCATTTTACACCTAAATGAATCCCTATCAAAACTACCTTCAGCACACATATCAACATCCTAGTGCCAAGTTTTAATTCTACACTAGAGCATTTCAAAACTTTACTTTAACCTAGCAATGGCAACACAATTTCATGTAAAAATATGCTGACAAGTTCTAAAGAGAATACAGAGGACTTTGTTTTCGGTACTAAAGGGCCATCAGAGACAGGTTATGCTCCCCAAATGGGACAAAATTTAAGTATGAAAATAGGGCAAAGCCACAATTGACTGGGTTGCGGGAAGAGTGCAATGCTATATGGTATTTATAAGACAGTTAAGGGTGTTTCATTTGTTGAGTATGTAGAATATTTGTTATAAAGGAGAAAGCTTGGTTGTATTTATGAATTGGTGCAGAAGATGGGCATTTGAAGAAAGAAGTTACAGCCATTTTTGATGAATTTGAAGAATGAATCCTAAATTAATAGGTGCACATCTTCAACATATATATAAACATCCTACAAAGTTTCAAGCATCTACAAAACTAGTACCTCTTTTCCCTGCCAAACTGCAGAAAATGACTTAAGTTCCAAAGCCCGAAAATCCAGAAAATGTCCGGAATGAATCCTTAATTAATAGGTGCACATCTTCAACATATATATATATAAACATCCTACAAAGTGTCGAGGCAGACAATGGAAGGATGAATGGGCAAAGCAGTGAAAATATGCTCTCCCTTCAGGAAGCATCAAAATAAACATGGAGGTCTTGTGTCACAGATGTTGATTCAGTGCTTAAGCTGCTATACTTCCAAGTTGTCAAAACAAAAAAAAACCCAATTTACCTCCTTGTTATATCTTAAATCATCTATTTCAGAACACTCTCTTTGATTTACATTCTTACAGAATAATCTAGATGCCTGCAACATTTCAATTAACTTGGTGATAATAAATCATCTCCATGAATTAGAATGCCGATTCTAATGGCATTCTGTCCTTGACATCAAATGTCATGTTATAAAGGTCGTGTAGAAATATGACTTAATTTAGTTAAGACCACAAGCCCTAACAATGTTACTATTATGCATCCACACATACCTCACAACATTGCAGGCGTTCGCTTGTTAACCTCTCGTTCTCTTCCTTCAAGTCTTCATTCTCATTTGTGTATTTCTTACCAAATATGATCAGCCTGTGACAGAGAAAGTACATAATAATCTACCCCAAATACAGGAAACTAAGTTGAATTTGATCAGAGATCAGCTAAACTTTTACAAAATTTACTAGCACATGTAATTCAGGGTTTCCTTAAATATGAGATAATTTAAATTTTTCCCCCAACTTTGTCACATCCTTCCATGATTTTTCCAGTTTAAAAACTTATTTTTAAAAAGTAGATATGCATCAAGTTAGGAAGATAGGTGTGAAAAGTCGACATTTCGAGTGCTTTGATTAGTCCCTTTGAAAACTGATTGAAAAATAAATTCATTTAATTAGATTCTTTTTTACTCTCTCTTTTAACATGCTACTTGGCTCTTGTACAGCTGTGATGAACAGATACCTTTCCACTTCTCCCTCTAGGTAACGATTGCTGTCTGTAGAAGTTTTACATTCCTCTGTTACTAAATCCAGTCTACAATGGTAAAATACTGTGTAAGAATATATTAAGTGAGACAATGAAATCATGATTGCCAAAGCTTATTAAAAATTTCAACACCAGAGATAGTGTGTATTTAAATTTCAAAATTACAAAAATTCACCTTTTCACAAACTACAACAAACTACCTATAAACAAACAATCTTATGGTGTCTTTTCTTAAGAACAATAAAGATTATGATAATTATAAATGGGCAGAGTTGACAAATCTCACACAAACTTGCAGACTTAAGATTTTTATTCAACTTCTTGTAGGAACAATATGTCCCAGTAAAAAAGTAGTAATACCAAACAATCATACCAATACCTCTTCCCTCTCCTCAAAAAATGGAACTGAATCAAAATAAACCAGCTTTAAAACAAAGCTATTTTTTTGTTCTTTGTTTTTTTTTTGACATTTGTCTCCAGTCAAGCCGAGGCAACTGTTGTGAGATACCTTTTCTGTAACTCTAGGTTGTCAGTTTCAACATCCCGTCTCCGTCGGTCTTGAACTTGCAGGTCCTCTCTAGCCTTCTTTAGCTCCTGCTGACAAGCCTCAGCTACCTGAGCTATCTCTTTCACCCTACAACAAAAATATCATCCAATGTGTTGAAGGAAATTACATACCAGTACTTACCATCACTTTCACAAGGAAACTATCAGTGAGTATAATTTACAACACTAGAATTACGCATAATCATATGTCTCTCCTGTCCCAATACAAATATGTAAACAAACCTTTCTTCATGAGAGATTCTTTCACACTCTATCTGGTACTCCATCTCCTTTTTATTAGTAATATGTTTCTCCAATTCTGTCTGTACACCATCCATTTCCATCAGCTTTGCCTGTAATAGTTTATAAAGTCCAATTCTTAAAAATTCTGAATTAATCTTGACAGAGTTATAAAAGTCAAAACAAAGGACATACTTTTTAGGGTTTTAAATTTCTTAAGCCAAACAAACAACCTCTTCATATCAACAGTAGGGATGTAACACAAGGTACAATAAATTTTCATTGTGAGGGACAGCTTGTAAGGAAATGTGCTCAGGATCCTTGATGGCCTCCGAATACTGAGGACCATTTTACATGATTAATTTACTTCAGATATGAACGAGACATGTGATTTTTATTTCGAACTTTAGCACTCGAAAATTTCTAAAAAATGAATGCTCTTGCCCTCATGCATATAAGTAGAATTGTTTGATAAATCTGTAGAAGGTGTTCAATGTGACCTGTTACCATTAAATCTGATCACCCTGTTATAAGGTGTATGATGTAGGATACTATGGGGTAAATATTAACTATATAAGTTAAGAGGTTCTCAAAGATATGAACAGAATTGGATAGGATGAACAGACATGTGTACCACAATATCCCCTTCCCACATGTGTAAAAGAAAAACAGGGACATAAAGATAAGTATTCATACACTGACAGAGAGTAACAGTCACTGATGATTTCTGATATTAACTTAAATTAAAACAAAATGATTAAAATATCACTTGAAGAACCAGATTTCTCCCAAATGTACATACTTTAGATAATTCTCTATCAATGAAATGAACTCACCGTAGTGTATAATGATCATATATTTACTTACTGACAGCTTTTTGATTTCCTCATTCTTTTCCTTACGTCCTATCTCATACTCCTCAATAATTGAGTGTAGACTGGAGTTTGATGCCTTTAGAGTGCTAGTAGTTAAGGATTCTAAACTCACAGTACTGCATTACAAAATTTTAATTACTTATTAAGTGTTAAACACAAGGCCTGTGAGCCTAATTGGTAACCTGACTAATCTCAACTGAACTTAAACTGCAAAGGGCCATAACCCTGTAAGGTACACTGAACTGGTCCAACTGTCAAACTCATCTTATATCTTATTGATATAAGGCTGTAGACCAAGATTAATTTAAATTCATACATATTTACATAAGTTATCCTCTTCAGAACAAAAACTTAATGCACAACTGACAAAGAACAATCATTATAGGTCACTGAGACCTATGGTCAGGTGACCTAAAAACCCAATGTGTATTCAGTGTGATAACTCACATCCAACAAAGAACAATCATTATAGGTCACTGTGACCTATGGTCAGGTGACCTAAAAACCCAATGTAAATATGATGCGAGTAAATAAAGGTTTCTACATGTGATCTCACTGTTGTACATCACCATACATCAGACCTTTACCTGGGTTTTTGATCTCACCAGTATTTTCTAATCTGACAAATAATAGCTTTTTGTTTTTTTTAATTCCGAGAGCAAGCATTCTGTATAAAAAGTGCAATCTATGATTTCTAAGATCACCATTATGAAATGCATAATTATTGCATCTAACAAATAAAATGTGCATGGGCTGTACAGACAGAAGTCACTCACAATTGACCTCATAAACTTTAAAGGTTTTGTACTGGGATGCTGACACTGGGGCCTAGGGGAACAGCATTAGCTAGCAGTTACATGTGACAGGTGAGTTAGAGATGAAAAATTGCTGTGATCTTGTCTATGATAGGCAGGAGATGGAAAATTATGAAAGCCCTAATTGAACAAGAATCAAGCTTGGCTATATGTATACAATGTTTCATCTAGGAACACATCTTCTGAAGACCAGTACCAAGATTTATGAATGGCAGCAAAAACTGAAATTACTTGGCCTGCAATAACATATTAAATTCAGTGATACAATAACACATGGAAAACACTGTATGAAATGAAGGATATGTATCCAGCTCCTCCATCAACCATTGCTGTTCCTTAGATTCCTCTTGGTTGGACTTTATGATATCTTTAATCTGATCTTCCATCTCCACTATTTTCTTGTTGTGTGATGCTTCCTTATCCTCCAGCTGGAAATAGGTATACAAGGTTACAGACTTGATATCAATGAGAATAGTAGCAAGAATGTGGAAAGTTCAGACAGAAGGAATAACTTACAAACTCAAAGTTTACTACTGACAATGGTATACCACATACTGGTTATAATTGGCTGTTCCTAGATTATATGTACAAAGGTAATTGAAAATGTGAAGCAGATTGGTAGTATAATGGCATATTGGCAGAAAGATCCTAGGTCCAAACTCAGTGGTGGTAGTAGTAGAATCAGATACAACACCTATCTATGGTAACTCAGTCCTACACATTCCTGTGATAACTCAGTCACACACTTTCCTTTGGTAACTCAGTCACACACTTTCCTGTGATAACTCAGTCCTACACTTTCCTGTGATAGCTCAGTCACACACTTTCCTTTGGTAACTCAGTCACACACTTTCCTGTGATAACTCAGTCCTACACTTTCCTGTGGTAACTCAGTCCTACACTTTCCTGTGGTAACTCAGTCCTACACTTTCCTGTGGTAACTCAGCCACACACTTTCCTGTGACAATTCAGTCCTACACTTCCTGTTGTAACTCAGTCCTACACTTTCTTGTATTAACTCAGTCACACATGTTCTTGTTTTAACTCAGTCACACACTTTCCTGTGGTAACTCAGTCCTACACTTTCTTGCATTAACTCAGTCACACACTTTCCTGTGACAATTCAGTCCTACACTTCCTGTTGTAACTCAGTCCTACACTTTCTTGTATTAACTCAGTCACACACGTTCTTGTTTTAACTCAGTCACGCACTTTCCTGTGGTAACTCAGTCCTACACTTTCTTGTATTAACTCAGTCACACACTTTCTTGTATTAACTCAGTCACATACTTTCCTGTGGTAAGTCATTTCTACTCTTTGTTGTGGTAACTCATTCCCCTGACTGAAATATTTAAATCGATAACTTACCTGTGATATAAATCATGTTGATCTGATATATTTTTATTCAAATCTATCCTAGTCATACTCATATGTGATAGCTTAAGTCACACTTACCTGAGATATGTTATGTCACACATATTTATACCTACCTGTGATTTGGTATGACACGTTTACTTAAGGTATATCTATATCATACTTACCTGTGATGGCTTATGTCAAGTTTACCTGAGGTATATCTATGTTATACTTACCTGTGATTTGGTATGACACGTTTACCTGAGGTACCTTTTGTTACACCTACCTGTGATGTCTTAGTCTTTAATGCTTCCTCTAACATTTCACATCTCCTCTGTAAGACATGATATTGATTCATTAAGAACAGGTGATTATTTAGAGGCCATTTTTCCTCTAGCATATTGACAGGTTGTAAAATGATACAAAAACAAAACAACAAACCCTGTATATACCAGACTCTTGTCTATTGTGAAAACCAGTAATGTCTATTAAGATTTCTTCTAAACTTGGCCTAGTGTGATAAAATAAACACTTGGAAGGCCTTCACAACCACCAAACAAACAACAAAGATGACAATAGAGATGCTGACACCGCCATTTTCTGGAATAGACAGGATGTGAAGAAATGTTTCGGGTTTTACTCTCAGTTGCCATGCATAAAGACAATCATAACAAATAACATCATCGTACATGCTAACTCTGGTCGTTACCAACAGAAAACAATACACTTTTTCGAGCGTTAGTTTACTGGCTTGACTGATAAAAATCCCAAATCATGATATGTCTGACATTTCCTGAAGACATGACTGATAAAAATCCCAAATCATGATATGTCTGACATTTCCTGAAGACATGACTGATAAAAATCCCAAATCATGATATGTCTGACATTTTCTGAAGACATGACTGATAAAAATCCCAAATCATGATATGTCTGACATTTCCTGAAGACAAACTGCATTTAATAATTTGTTGTTGAAAAATTCAAATCTTGATAGATTTGTTAACCTACTCGTCAAGCTATTCTGTCATATAGAGGTAAAAGATAATCATTTTAAAGGAGCATTGTTTCTTTGGTATTACAGATATTAGCCACATTATCTTTAACAAATTCATTCCTAAAGGATGATCACACTAAAGCATCTGACTAATGTGTTGTAATAAGTACAGGAAACATAAAGGAAAAACTGTCTCTATATGTCATCACTGTTTATTCTGCTACTCCATCATTACCTTTTACGTTAAACCATGTGACATCAAGGATATCAAACCATAGGGATTTCCCAGTCAACAACCAGGTGCACAATGAATACACAGAAATTGAAATATGGTTAAAAATATGATGTAAAGGATAGTAAAGATCCAGAAAGAAGATAATACCTGTATCAAAGAGTAAATAGTAGCCTTGATATCATGATGGTAGCAACTGTAACTTGAAGCATAACCTCTGAACCCCATTAAACAAAAAGTACTTTGTACCTGTGTGGATTCTAGTTCACGTTGAGAGCTGGCATACTCCTCCTGGATTTTGTCGTTTGCCTCCGTAATACAATCAAGATCCTCCTTCGCTATGCTCATCTGTTGTGACAAATATTTTCTATTATAATACTTAACAGCATACTTCAATCTCAATTTTTTTTGTGATATATCTTTTCATCTGTACATGTTACTATCTTATATATTTACAATTCTATGCTACTATTTAATTCACATTTACCAACACGAATGTTGCAAGGTGAACAAAATATGCCCGCCCCAATGTTAAAGAAATAATCATTTATTGTATTAAAATGAAAATAAATATGGAAATGGTAATAATAAGTCAAAATGTTAAGAGGGAAATCAGTGATACATGTTTGATGGATTAGAACAATCCAAGTTTTAAAGAGAAGGGTTGAAAACAAAGAGGAGAAATATTTCAACAAGATTAAAATACTTTCAAGACCAAATGACAATGAATCTTTATTTAAATTAAATGCTTTTGTGAAACACAATCTCATGTTAAGGTTTTAAAGTCCCTCTAGGTTTTAAAGAAATTGGTGAAATACATAGGGAGGAGATATCAAGGAAAATATTTTAAATAATGAAAAAAGAAATGGGGAACCAACAATTTCCTATAATGGTCATATGGCTTACAAAGTTTGAAAGAAATCTGTCAGCTATCTTCTAAATTCTGCCTTAAGCTTGATTAAAATTTCTAGTCTTAGTCAACATACAAGATGTTATATTTAGGTATCCATGGAGACTGTATCTTTTGTTAGCCTATTAGGTATGTACCTAGGATGTCAGCAGTATTAACTGAACCAAACATCCAGCTTGAGTCAATCTGTGAGGCTCAGCTGGAGTCAATCTACAAGCTCCAACACGGAGTCAGCTGTAGTATCTATCTTGAGTCAGGCTATAGACTCCGGCACTGAGACTGCCTGAGAGCCTCTTCCTTGATTAAGCTTTAGAGAGATTCTACCTTGAGTTGACATAATGGCTTTTACTAAAAGTCTGATCACCGAACTTGATTACATATCTTTGTTTCAACTTTAAGTATAACCTATGTTCTTCTACAGTCAATCGATCCTACTGTCCAGGCCTCTGCTCACCTCAGCATTATGACAGTCCACCTGAGCCTCTAACTTGGCTTGCAGCTCTTTGTTGACCTCCTCTTTTGTCTTCAGTTCTGTAGCCTGCTCCTCCAGCTTTCTGGTCAGACTCTGGCACTGCTGTGTTTGATCTAGCAGTTGGTTTGTTTCAACATTGAGAGCAGTTCTTAGCTCCTCAATACGAGACATGTACCCGGCTACTGCTTCCTGTTGTAACATATATCATAATAAAATCTTAGAATAACAGAAATATCAATACATCATGCACAAAGAACTAGAAAAAATAAATAATACAAATTCTAAAAAGACTAATTTCTTCAACAGCAGATAATGTTCTCTGTATACCAATACCAGTCACTTACTGTTTATATACATAAACTAGTAAACATCTGTATGACAGGAATGCCACCCCAACCCCCTCCTCCTACCTGCTTGTAAGTATCATCACTTGATGAATTTGAAGAAGTTGCTAAAAGGTGACCTTTGACTCTTCAACCTTGACTGATGACCACATTATTTGAAAGTATGGGTTAAATATAGACCAAATGTTGAGATGTTCCAAACATACAACATTGATTTTGAATGGTATGGGACGTGACAGGATGAGTGGAGACACCAGGTTAACACTATATCCAACATACCCTCCCTCAACCTTTAAAATAGACTGGGCATGAAAGTTACAATTTATAGAGTTTAAGTGAAATGCCCCTGCAATCCAACAAGTGTGGAGCTTTTCTGTATGACCAAGTTGTGATAGCTCTGTATTACCCAGCTGTGACAACACTATATGACCCAGGTATGGCAACACTATATGACTAAGCTGTGACAACACTATATGACCCAGGTATGGCAACACTACATGACCCAGCTGTGACAACACTATATGACCCAGGTATGGCAACACTATATGACTAAGCTGTGGCAACACTATATGACCCAGGTATGGCAACACTACATGACCCAGCTGTGGCAACACTATATGACCTAGGTATGGCAACACTATATGACTAAGCTGTGACAACACTATATGACCCAGCTGTGACAACACTATATGACCCAGCTGTGACAACACTATATGACCAGGCCATGGCAACACTATATGACCCAGCTGTGACAACACTATATGACCCAGCTGTGACAACACTATATGACCAGGCCATGGCAACACTATATGACCCAGCTGTGACAACACTATATGACCCAGGTATGGCAACACTACATGACCCAGCTGTGGCAACACTATATGACCCAGGTATGGCAACACTACATGACCCAGCTGTGACAACACTATATGACTAAGCTGTGACAACACTATATGACCCAGGTATGGCAACACTACATGACCCAGCTGTGACAACACTATATGACCCAGGTATGGCAACACTATATGACTAAGCTGTGACAACACTATATGACCCAGCTGTGACAACACTATATGACCCAGCTGTGACAACACTAATTATGAGTTGATGTGAACCTTGTTCTGTTCCTGTTGTTTCTGCAGGGTAGATACAATGTGTTGAGCAGCCTCTGTACTGCCCTTCAGGTTTTGTATAGTTTTATCTTGTTGCTCCATCCTCACTCGAGCAACTTCTGCCTCAGATTGTAGTAATTCATTCTGTTGGAGAAGCTGCAGATTTTCTTTCTCCTAGATGAACAGGCAGAAAAAACATTTACACAATAAAATGTGTTATATAAATAAACAAACAATCCCCTGTTCTGTTGTTATTTATAATCCTGTTTTATATGTTCCTTTATCTCAAATCCCATTGTATATGACCCTGATGTATTTTTATGTCCTGCTCAATTTTTCGTTAGAGTTATCTTGCAACCTAGAATATTCAGTCAACGACTTACGTAAGCTGACCTAAATATTAACTGTTTTACAACTTGTGTAAGCTAACCCATAAATATTCAATTTTTTTAAATATGTGTAAACTGACCCTAAATATTCACTTTTTTAGAATTTGTGTAAACTGACCCTAAATATTCACTTTTTTAGAATTTGTGTAAGCTGTAAAATATTCACTTTTTTAGAATTTGTGTAAACTGACCCTAAATATTCACTTTTTTAGAATTTGTGTAAACTGACCCTAAATATTCACTTTTTTAGAATTTGTGTAAGCTGACCATAAATATTCACTTTTTTAGAATTTGTGTAAGCTGACCCTTAATATTCACTTTTTTAGAATTTGTGTAAGCTGACCCTAAATATTCACTTTTTTAGAATTTGTGTAAACTGACCCTAAATATTCACTTTTTTAGAATTTGTGTAAACTGACCCTAAATATTCACTTTTTTAGAATTTGTGTAAACTGACCCTAAATATTCACTTTTTTAGAATTTGTGTAAGCTGACCCTAAATATTCACTTTTTAGAATTTATGTAAGCTGACCCTAAATATTCACTTTTTTAGAATTTGTGTAAGCTGACCCTAAATATTCACTTTTTTAGAATTTGTGTAAGCTGACCCTAAATATTCACTTTTTTAGAATTTATGTAAGCTGACCATAAATATTCACTTTTTCATGACTTGGTAAGCTGACCCTTAACATTCAGACTTTTTTCACAATTTCTGTCAAATGTCCCTCCTGACCCTAAATATTCGAACATCTTCATGACTTGTCTAAGCTGACCCGCTGAGCATTGTAAAATTGTCACATGTACACAGTGATGATTTTTACCTGAGCTGCCCCTTCCATTTGTGTCCGACACACCAGTTGGTCATGATTGTGTTTCTCTGTGGCTAAACTCTTGGACACAGTCTGAAAGTGATGACAGTGATTAAGGACAGATAAGCATAGAAAGAACTAAATGTTAAGTTATACATATAGAGGAAAATATAGGTTACAGTGACCTACATGTCATGTAAGATGTTGGTAAAGATGATCAATGGAAATAGTGTGACAACTTTTGGATTTCAACTTCAATAGCTTTAACTATTATTTTAAAGCACATTAACAATTAAAGGCATCAATGCCCAAACACCTGGCAGTAAAAAGAAAAAATTAAAAGAACACAACATTTAATCAAGATATTGTAAAAACAGAAAAAGGACAACACTTCATGACCATTCTACTTTCATATGGAGGTAGATATGAACTTATTCACATGTTTGTCATTGTAACAAAGCAAACCAGCTGCTTCTAAATGTTTTACCTCAAGTTTATGATGTTAAGATATATTGTATGTATAAAACCAGATGTGTCAGAGTGACATGAATGTCCCTACTGGCAAAGAGATGGTTGGGACTTTTTAGCATTATTGCCTTTGTCCAGTTTACTCGTGACATGAAACAGAATTGAGGTCCTGCCACCAAAATCTATTTTCTAAAATATCCACTTGAGTTAGGGAAGGTTCTCCTGTATTAGTCTACGTGTTTTTGTGGAAATTTTACGTGAAATTCTTACAGAAAAATCACCGTAACTAAGGAAAAATAAAATGACTACAACCAAATCAGAACCTGACCTGTATATGATCATTATACAACGACATATCAAGTTACAGTTCTATATATGTATCCATTATAAAGTAAATAAGCAGAAACAAAACTACAGTAAAATGACAAGGGTAACACCATACGCCTCCACCATGAAATGGTGAGAGCATAAAAATTTTAACTCAAATTTGATCAGGTAGACCAGAAGTGACAACATGGTGAGCAGATAGTTAAATACCACTAGAATCATTCTTTAAAAGTTATCACATCCTAAAGCAACAAATCTAGAGGACAGAAATTTTTTTGCTGTAGAACATGGTATACTACTGACCTCAAGCTGAGATTGGACATCCTCTAGCTTCTCCTTGCCCTCCTGCACTCGTTCCTCAAGCTCCCTCACCAAACTCTCATTAAATGTTACTGTGTCCTGTGCATTCTCTAAATCTTGCTGTTGGGTTAAAAACACAAGTCATAATAAAACATGAAATTTCAACAGGGCATCAACAAGTTATTAATATTCAACTTAAACTTTGATGTACTGAAGTTCAAGGAACTAGCAAAAAATCTTTGAGAACTCATCTTAAAGACCATATTTGATGAAACAACATGGCAAGTTCTGAAAAAAGAGATACTTTTATTTATGAAACATTTTTTTTCATTCATGAAATAAAAACATTACTTTTAACAGAAATGATAAAAAAAATGAGTACATGTTTCATTTTCTCAACAGGTACACATCCATACGTGCAGTATACTAGTATGTGTTTGATGGATCAATTTTAGATAAAACAAACTTCAGCGCTTAAGTGTTGGTCATGAGTTTAGAATTTACTCTGCTTGTGTTCAAAATTCCATAAATTTGATCTCACTATATACTATTACTACAATGGTGGCCGCAGACATCAAACAATGTCTTATTACCATTGATTAAATGTTATGGCATGTAAGTATGCCATTAAACTTTAATCTGTATCCAGTCATTAATTAACATCGTAACAATGTGTAAACACCAGCACGCTATCATAATCTCTTGCTCAGGCAGTGCCAAGGTGGAAATGTGTGAAATTTTGTCATAGGTTGAAAGTATCTGTACAGCAAAAGTGTTTTCTAAAATTCAGATCAAGCGGTGTAAATGACTGTGTTATCATAGATAAAGGTGAAAACCTTCGATAAATTGAAAAGTTTGATTCATAAAACTTTGATTCATAAAGATGTAAGTTAGAAATGCTAGATAGAAGTAAAAATCTGGACTGGGAAAAAAATGAAACCTGGAGAAATTTGAATGATTGAAGCTTGATTCAAAGAAGTTTGTATTTAACATGGTCATCAACTGCTAATTGTCAGAGAGAATATTTGAAAACACACTGAATGTGATGAACTTTGATGCTTTAAACACAATCTCTAGAGATAAATGAATCGCTGTAGAAACACAATGAAATAAAGAATGGACCACTTACTGACAGCATCAACAGATAAATGAATCACTATAGTAACACAATGGAATTCAGAATAGACAACTGACTGACAGCATCAACAGATAAATGAATTGCTATGGTAACACAATGGAATTCTGAATGGAACACTTACTGACAGCATCAACAGATAAATGAATCACTATAGTAACACAATGGAATTCTGAATGGAACACTTACTGACAGCATCAACAGATAAATGAATCGCTATGGTAACACAATGGAATTCTGAATGGAACACTTACTGACAGCATCAACAGATAAATGAATCGCTATGGTAACACAATGGAATTCAGAATAGACAACTGACTGACAGCATCAACAGATAAATGAATTGCTATGGTAACACAATGGAATTCTGAATGGAACACTTACTGACAGCATCAACAGAAAAATGAATCGCTATTGTAACACAATGGAATTCTGAATGGACCACTTACCAATAACATATCTCGTTCCTCACAGGCACTCTCATACTCCTTTGACATCTTGCTAGTTTCCATATCTACCTGCATCAGCTGGGAGTAAAAACAACCTTCATTTATATGTACACATTTATACATAGTGTCTTATTAACTTTTCGATTTGAATTATTATTGATCAAGTTAATTTTACTTCATGAAGAAAGTTTGTTCAAGTCAATAACTTGACCAAACTTGATAGACTGCATGCTTCTGAACAATTATGTCCCAAGTCTAGACTTCATGATTGTTAACGAGAAGTGGCCAGTTTATATACATTCAAAATTTAACTGAAAAGAGTTTTCAGAATTTGCTCTCATCTTTTTTGATACATTTGGCAACTTTCAAAGTGGTGCAAGGTTATTGATTCATACAAAACTCACAGCCCTTCTGCCCAGCATGCTACTGAAGTTGATTTGAATAAACCTAGAGAATATGTGTAGAAATGAATGTGTCACTTCAATACAGATAGAAATGATTGTTTGGTTTTATTTGACAAGAGTGATGAATATAACAGTAATCTACATGCAAGTCCGGAGTCCTGTACTCATAGAATTTTGATGGGACAAGAAGTTTTGGAAATACTTAATTTTACATTGTGGGACCCATTGTGTTAGCAATAAAGTTAAAAAGGACTTGAGGAAGTGTAGATTGATCATCAGTTATAGTAACACTAATACATGTGTCAGGGTGTATATCAATCATACAAATGTACACAGTTACTATTGCTGCTCTGTGATTTTTAAAAACATATTCTATACACAACACTTACACGAGTCTGCAGAACTTCTATTGTTTTCTGTAGCTGGTCTTCATCCTGTGTCTTCCTAGTTTTGAAGTCTTTCAGTTCTTTGTCAGAAGATAGCAGAACCACTTTTAAATCATCTGCCTCATCTTTATAATCTGTATAAAATCATAAAAAAGGATCCCTATGTTGTATCACTGTAGGTACGCTATGTTGTAGACTTAAGGATGACCTAATTACCTGCTATACACGACTCAAAATGTACAAACACTTACAGAAAATGTTACAAATACCACTACTTATGAAAATTTTGTTATAATTCAGGATTTCTATGAGTTCACACACAGGTGAGTTTGCACATAAATAACTTGGTAGGTAGGGCAGCATTTTGGATGTAAACATGAGAATTATTTACAAAGTGTCTCAAAACTGACCAAAATCAAACTCCCAATTGTGCTAGTACCGGCACCTTTGTCCGGTAAATACCTATTGTTATCCTATCTTTACTAGGTCTACATATATTTTTTTCAACATGGCTATGCCAACGATATATGATGCATGTCAAACTTAACGAAAAACCAAAACTAATATCATTGTGGAACTAATTAGTCACCTTTTTAAAACATAAGTTTTACATAAATTATACTACATCTATTGTAAAACTAAGACTTATATGAAAACAAAATGGAACAGCCTTGAGTCCAGCTGTGTATCACAGAATAGCATGTTTATGTATAAAATGAATAAATGAAATATCACAAAGTGTAACACACATCACTGAACAACATACTTGATCGTATAAAAATTGTAAAGAATTTTTTCAACTACAACATTTGCTAAATTCTGATACATTTAATTGGTAATTGACCTTTACTTATACATAAGAAAAACATATTTTAAAAATAAAAGAACTACAGTGATAATATCACAATAGTAACTTGACTTTTGCAATCATGATTTTATTATTGCAATACTATCATGATAGCTTTATTGGCCTCAATAGTCACCCTTACTAGCGAGTATTGTTCAAATTAGTAGTTTAGAAGGAATAAGTGGTAAATCATTGCGTCTACAAATGGACAGATGGACAACCTGATTCTAGAATACCCCCCACACCTTTTTTGTAGGAGAGTATAATTACATGTCATGTTTCTCTCTGCCTCCTGTAGTCTTCTTCGGAGTTCCACTAGTTCGGAATCTGATTTTTCACCTGTAGTTGTCCTCTCCATTCGCTCTCTCTGCAGGATCTGTATAAAGAGTACAGTGTTCCAGAGAAGTTTACATAAGGGTTATTACAGTATTTACCATATATTGCACCAGAGTGACTCCAGGGATAGTATATGTGAACAAAATAAAACATTTGCCATAAATTTGAAAGATGTATAATTATTGAAGACACTGTTCCTCTATCTATTCTAGATATTTATATTAACTTAATAAAATCCAAATGAATATTTTATCATTTCCAATTAAAATCCAAATGAATATTTTATCATTTCCAATTAAAATCCAAATGAATATTTTATCATTTCCAATTAAAATCCAAATGAATATTTTATCATTTCCAATTAAAATCCAAATGAATATTTTATCATTTCCAATTAAAATCCAAATGAATATTTTATCATTTCCAATTAAAATCCAAATGAATATTTTATCATTTCCAATTAAAATCCAAATGAATATTTTATCATTTCCAATTAAAATCCAAATGAATATTTTATCATTTCCAATTAAAATCCAAATGAATATTTTATCATTTCCAATTAAAATCCAAATGAATATTTTATCATTTCCAATTAAAATCCAAATGAATATTTTATCATTTCCAATTAAAATCCAAATGAATATTTTATCATTTCCAATTAAAATCCAAATGAATATTTTATCATTTCCAATTAAAATCCAAATGAATATTTTATCATTTCCAATTAAAATCCACCTGTTACCTTGTGCTCCAACTGGTCATCCTTCTGGTGACGTCTTTCTTTTTTTATTGCAATTCAATAAAGTTTCAAATTAATTTGCTGACATTTTGGATATCTACCTGTTTCTTTTTATTTTGTAAAATACATTGTAGGTACCTTGAACATGTTGACATGGTTTCTTACTGCTATTATCTATCATTTATCATACCTCAGTGAGTTGGGCATTTTGGTGATCAATCTTTGAGATATGCTGTTTCAGTTTGATAGCATCCGCCTCATACTCCTCTATGCGTTCTGTCATGTTGTTGATGGAGCTCTGAAATTTGAAGTCTGATATTTGAATGTTGAAAACTTAAAGCCTGCCTGACTAAATACTAATATAATAATAATAATAAATAAACAATATTAAATACTCCAATATATCATTTTACCAAGACAGAGTTTTACTAGTAACCTGAGACTTTTAATTATTCTGTCAGATTTAAACATTTGACCTTATTACAAGAGATGAGTATCCTTAAGAACATCTAAATAACTTGAACACTTTAATCAGAGATAACATATCAGAATAATCTATACATACATATTAAGTACAACAGAATTGCTGTACATAGAAATGTTTACACTGTCCATTCTACTATGTAACCACTAACTATGTTATCATCACATGATACAGACAATTGTTATGGCATCATGACACACTTTTAACCTTAGCTCTCTTAATATAACTACTGTGGTTGCGATGATGGCTAGCTCAGCTAGTCGAAACATAAACCAGCAATGTTGATACTACATAGTTCATATCCTTTGTATTTTGTCATATTGTAAATGAACCGTGTTGTGAATGACAAAGTTTACACATTTCTACTCAGTAAAATTCCAGACACTGAAAGTCTGTAATACATCAGCATAATCATGTAAAGGACTGATCAAAGGACTGTGTTGAATACATCCTTCATAGACACTGGGCTTATCAAGCTATCAACATGGTCACAAGGAGTAAGACTTGGTGGGGTTTTTAATGGACTTTTCCCACTAAAATTTGATTTTACTAACACACTAAGATAAGTATCTTCCTCAACTATAAGAATACTACCAAAAACTATTTAGCACACCTGTAGCTGTTCCACCTCACTCCTAAGGGCTTCATTGGCCTGCTGCATCATAAACGGGGGCTGAGTCTCAGCAAAAAGATCTTCGTCCTGATCCTCAACTTCTGGACTTGTATTTAGGGCCAGTGTGGGACTGGTCGCAGAGTTAGCTTGGCTACGAAGATTGTACCGCAGCTTCTTAGGTGTAGTAATTGTCTGATTAAAAAAACATGTTATCTTACATTTTATACTTCTTTTCACAAAGTCAGGAGAAATTTTCCATTCTCAGGTATCAAAAACAGTTTTCAAAAAAGATTTGAAATTTTGGAATTTGGTTAAGACGTTGGCCTATTTGGGACATTGAAAATTATGTTGACTATAACATGATTAACTTTTTGAAAGACTTACATGTCCAACTTTAAGAAATGACAGGTTTAATTCTATTCTCCTTCATGTTGTTGTTTGTGCATTGGCGGAGGTTAGTGTTGACATATTAGTATGCAGAGTGTGGATAGGACTACAGATTTATTATCAATTAAAAACAAACTTATTCGTATTTACAAAACGTATCTAGGAAACTCATCTTGAGTCTTGGCACAATACTCTTAGCAAAATGTGTAGTGAAACACTGTTCTTCTTTTGACAATAAATGTAGGCATGCCTACAGTACATTCCATGCTCCATATACCAATTGTTTCTATATGCAGGGTTGGGGCCTCAATTTGTGTCAGCTGGCATGCACATGATGTGACATGAAAGAAAACTTGACATGATCTAAAGTACCTGGTTTAGTCATTAACAGGTAGATAATTACTTGTATCAGTAAATTTCAACACTGAGCACTATTGATTAGGCTTAGTATAAAGACAAGTGTTTGTGTATATAAGACATACATAAATCTAGGTTAATTGTATAGGTAAGTGTACAGAGTAACTTGTCTCATGTCAAAGAAAACAACAAGTGTATAGAAATTAGGCAATTTTTTTCCTTTCAATAATATTGTACCAGTAATTAAAGAGGACAAGGTAATTACAAGAGATGGAAACGAATTTTGAAGAAAATTCTTTTGTTTTGGACATTATATTGTTGGTCCGCCATGTTCGCTGAATATAATTTGTCATTAATCCAATACCATGTTTCTATCTTCATCATATTAAAAGTCCTGATGATATCCTTTAATGTCCTCACTAAACATGAAATAAACTATACAAAAACCAACAATCAGAAATCTGTGCATCTAAAACTGATCAGCTAGGTTGTGTGATCTTCATTCTTTTAAAGCTGAATGTCAGATTTCCTCATAAATCATCTTTTGCTGTCAAATCAAAGATGGTCAACAATCTGCTTTTCTGATCAGTCCCCAATCCTAAGTGCACAACAATGACCAAAGAGAACTTACATATAAATTTGATAAAGATTTGTTCTGTTCTTCTTAATAAACAGCCATAACAAACTTTCATTGTAAAATTTCAAGATGGCCACCTGTCAGCTATTTTGATATTCTGATCAGTCCCAAAGTTATAACGCATAGCTAGGGACTATGGGGAATCTAAATATGAAACTTCAGACAAATCCCTACATTACTTCTAATGATATGTAGATTACAAAAATTGTTTAAGGATGGCCAATTGAAGCAAGGCAATTTGATGGTAGCCTTAAAACAAACAAATCATTTTCTTCATTGCTTTCCCAAAATGATGATTTCTTCATAATTTTACTTTGCACATCAAACAAATCAGAACAGATTTTGCAGAAACTGATGAATTAACCCACCTGGACTGTTTGGAAGTGAACATCCCTCTCCAACTTGCTCTTCAGCTGATGAGCTTCCAAAACATTGGTCAGTTCTGTAATGGTCTTCCTCTGAGAAGTCACCTCAGACTCCAGCTCCATCTCTCTCTTCTCAGCAGCTTCCTTCTGCTCTGTCAGTGTTTGTTTCAGCTGTCACAACAAACATAACAAAAATAATATAAAATGTTGATGGCTGTATAAGATTTATCTGTTACATCCTAGGAGTGTAGACACGAGGTTAGCAGTTCTTTTCCAAATAAAAAAAAACCTTACATTTTACTAAAAAAATTGTTTAAGAACATGGGTCCTTGTAAACAAAGCAGTAAATTATCAGAAAAAGAAATTGTTTTCCAAAAGTAAAGCCTGAATCAATCTTACAGTTGCTACTTGTGCCTCAAGTGATTTATTCTTCTCTATGGTAGCAACAGAGATGTTGTCAACAGCCACAGGAGTGCGTGTTGGTGTTCCCACATAGTCCTGCTCTGGATCTGGTGGATGTATATTGTCATATCATCAAATCATCTAAATGTAGATCTTATACACTATAGATTAACTTTGGTATCATTGTAGTAAGTTTAACTAATAAGAAAATTAATACTGTCAAGAGTAAATGAGTGACACATTCAGGCCAACTAAAAACCACTTGTATCCATGGTCATGTTTCAAGAATACATAGCCAATTTAATTACAGAAAATAATGTTTATGTGGATATCAAATAACAAAAGCAGAAACCCCGAAGTGGGATAATAATTTACAGGGATAACCTTACAATTAAAATCTAAACATTTTGTAAAGTTTTCAAACAAACAACTATTCTATCTATTTTCTAACTGCCCGAATAGGGAACAGCCCCGTAATGGTTAGTAATGAATGATAATCCATACAGCAATAAGCATGAAGTTTATACAGAAAAAAACAAATAAAAAACGTACCATCACTACTTTGTTTTGCCATGAGGTCAAAATACATGCGTTCCAACTCCATCACCCGTTCATTACTGGCTAAAGCACTTTCCTGGGAGGCATCATTCATCCTGTACTGCTGCAACTCAGACTTGAGATGTTGGATATCCATAGCATACTTTGTCACAATAGGATTGTGTTCTAATTTGTCTTTTAAACTGCAAATCTCGGCCTTTAAATCTGCCTGAAATAACAAATAAATCCAGTTGTATGTAATACATGTCTTGTTTGGTTGAAGGTCAAAACAGATAATGTGCAAATATTTCGCCTCATCTTCAGCTCCTATTAGCTGGACTTTGAGACATGTAATATCTTAGATATTTGAAACAATATACAACATTAAGCCACACCAATACACCACCAAGAAGAATGGAAAGGTGGCAAGGTGGCATATATATATATCAAAGAATTTCTAAACAGGCATTACATCATTAAAACTATTCTAGTTCTAATTAAATGAAACCAGTATATTTTTCCAGGGTAGTGAACACTTTCAGTTATATACTCATTGGAATATGGCAGTTAAAGTCTCAGTACAACCCAAAGTTCCTAAATGACAAAATATTTCAAATTCTAAATTCAACCAAAATTTAGATCTGTGGAATTCCTGGACTAATTTCATCACCACTAGGGACGTGTAATTATAGAAATGTCCCTTTGAAAATAATTATAAAAAACATTGTTGTTCCCAAAACAAAAACTCTATATAACATAATAAAATCGTCTATAGACAGGAAAAGAAAATAGAAATTGTTTTTCTGAAACAACACAAATTTCATTAATATAGAACTGATTGATATAATCACGACTTTTAGACAATATTATAAACATGATAAAATAAAACTATTTTGTTATCCTCAAGACGCCATTATCAATCAATATGTAAGTGATTGTTACTGTTCATATTACTGTTTTCTGATTGTAATTATAGTCTATATGATTGCAAGTGACCTAGTGGTTTGCTTGAATACAGCTTGCAAGTACATCACAAACTACTAAAGAATTATCTCAAGAAAACATTTTATAATCCATATGTAAATTACCAACAACATTTCTGGGAATATTAATTATGTATCTTGTGAAGTGTGATGAAGTAAATCCAGTAAAAGGAACAGCCTAAACATGGAACAGCTTGCAAAAGCATGATGACATCACAATACACCCGGACCAGTTACAATTAGTCATCATGAAACTGGGTGTCAGGTATTGTTATAATGAGAAGTCACCAGGACACAAACGTTCGTCGTGAGATAATACCCGCGATAGGAAGGGTCACGGAGATGGAAAACATGTAACCAACCAACAGGTTGTAATGAGGTGGCAGATATGAATATACATTCATTACATTTCAATCACTAAATCTAGTGGAAATTTACAAAGTGCACCTATAGGACAGCTTCATTTAATCCAAAACAGCATCAACACAGTTTTTCTTTCTCTGATCCTCAGTCACAATGATGCTTTCAACGTACAGCTGGCTAAAAGAAATGGACCAGATGCTGTGTACAGTGTAAACACATCTTTAAAGTAAAAATAAAGATAAAGTGATGTATTGGTTTAATTTTCACTTACAACACGTTGTTCGGACTCCTCCCATCCTTCTTTTGATTTAATGGTCTTCTCCAGCCTTGAGATATGGTTTTCTCGAAATTTAATTATCATTTTTGTTGACTGTAAAATTTTATCTTTCTTGTTGCAGAGCTCTTCAAGTTTCATAATCTTTTCTTGTAAAGGCTGAAAGGATATTTTTAATGGATACATTTGACAAAAGATGCCCATCATTATTTTCATGCTGTTTATCTAATACCCATTTATTTCTCACATTTTACCTTTCTATCATTACTGTTAAGGACATGCGGTCACATTTACTTGATAAGAGACAATTCAAATTTTGTAAGGAAAGTATGGTATCTATTCTGTAATAAGAACAAGGGGTCAACACATCATTTCTTACACAAATAAGAGCTGGGCTTATCAAAGGACAATAGAATAAATAGCATTGGTTTGAGATTTTTATGGAACAATACATATGGGTAGACGTTGAGCCAATGATTATTTCCTGGGAGAAGGAAAAGCATTTAAAATTTTATTGTGAATTAGTTTTAAACCATCTGTGATAGTATCTCTTTCATATGACAAGTTATCAGCAATGTATGATGAGCCAGATATACCACACTATATTGGTGTAAACTGAATGCAGATGGACTTATTCTTGTACCATATTTTTTGTGTGTAGATCTTTTGGAAAACACTTTGCCTGGTATATGTACTAGAATTCAGTATTTATGACATTTTAAAACTAGAAAATGTCAGTGAGACATGAAAGTCAGCACTCCTCCAATTGTTTGATGAATTTGCAGAAGTTGTCTAATGTGGCCTTTGACCCTTTAACCTTGAGTGATCAACATAATATGCTACGGGGTAAATATGAACGAAATGTTGAGAAGTTCTCAGGATATAACATTGATTCAGAACAGAATCATGAGTTTCGACAGTCCGCTGATTTGAACTGTGCGGACTGTAAAATGCTGACTGATAAATCAGCAGAAATCAGAGACATCATATTAGAAATATTTCAAAAGTAAACTTAATGATACTGATCACATTTACCTCTATACTGATATCTGATTTAAAGAAATATAAATTTTAAGAAAGTTTTTTCCTGGAGGTTTTATCAAAGGATGAAGTTCAAGGTTAACAAAAAATTCAGAATGTTAATGATCTGTTCTTAAACCATGGTACAAGCTTCTATTGACTTTTTAAAGTCTACCTTTTAAGGTTGTTTTGAGGTATGGATCAGTAAATACTTACCCTCTTGTCAACATCTGACTTCTCCTTAAGCATCATGGCATTTACAAATCTCTCCTTCCATACAGACGAGCCACCTTCTTGGTTTGGGGGACATTGGGACTGTACAGTACCTGATTAATAATATTTATAACCATAAAAATTCTAACAACTGATTATAAAATGATCTGAAATTTTAGTTTAAAAAAAACATATTTTTAGTTTGAAAATTAAGCATTACTAACTGATTTTTTATAAATTGGGAAAAATAGTATACAAACGCTGTGTACTGGTGGTATAACTCACATGGGTGCTATAACACTGATACATTATTCAAACCCAATTCTGATCAAGGTTATCAGTATGTTTAGCCATATGGGGACGAGGCTGCATTATTAATTTTAGATGAGCATTAAATTAAAAACAGATTTAATAAAATCCATGTTGAAGTAATTGTTTTCCAGATATGAATATTAAAATTCAGCATCTGCATCATGTAATTAGTAAAACATCCCTAGTTGTATCACTGTCAATCGGAAACTATTATCCATGTAGCACTTATAACATTTCAAAATTCTTTTTGATCAAAATGATGGACAGAGCACATTTCAATATCCCATTCCAAACTTTGGCTAGACAGAACAGGCTGTATATAAAATGCCATTGATTTACAATGAAATATACGTTTTGTGGGGGAACATTTTAATATTCAGCTATAATTCTCCATTTCCAATAAATTGTTAACTTATCAGATTGGGAAAAAACCCATTGGACATTTATCAAGAAGCCCGGGGGCCTGAGTGAATTCACCGACAGAAGAAAAGAGAAAATGAGAAATACTCTTTGTAAAGGGATGGAAGAGTTTTACCTGAAGACTCTTCCATCCACGAAGAATAATTGATTCTACTATATTTGGATGGCGAAAAGAAGAATTTCTAAATTTCAGTCAATCGCAATAGACCACTACATGACTTTGTTGCAGGTCTCAAAATATCAGTCTTATGCAAAGAACATTTTGAAATGAAGAGATCTTACTTAATGCAGCATCTCCCCTTGCTGACAATAGTTGCTGATTCTCCTCCTTTAAACGTCTGATCTCTGCTTGCAGAGACATCAAATTTCCCTGTGTATCTTCATTCACTACTGCCTGTTAAATATTAAAATTTTATTAACAAAGGTCCAAAATTTACCACCAAAGTTCTAGATTGTCTTTTAACCTTTCAACTCCTACAGGAAAACAGGTAACAGGACCACATACATCTGTCACATGTCATGTAGGACCAATAAAAGACACAAACTTTTATAGTATTTTGAACATTTAACTACTTTTTCCTCTAGATATTCAAGGATTTGCAAATTTACAAATCTATTAGTCATATTTCTTACACTAAGCACATCCAACTTACCCCACAAGATCTCATCTCCCGATAAGCATCAAGTCCAATTTAGAGAATATTCAGGATCAAATTTGATCAAAACCACAATTAAAGATTGACCAAGAAGCATTTTAAAATCTTAAAGCACTACTTCACTGTATGACCAAGCAACTAATGACAGTAACAGAAGTTTTCAAAATCCGTTTTTTAACTGAAGAAAAAGCTATATCAATCACTTCCTACAGTAAAACATGGTCAAAAGTCTAAAGTCATTTTCATTAAACATTCCAAGTGAAAATATCAACATATTTATCAAAATATACAATATTTTCACGAAATATTAATAACAGTGTTACAAGTCTGATTTTGTTACAAAATAGTTAAGAAATCTTGTTCCAAAATAACTCAATTTCCTGACCAAATATTGATACAAATATACAAAAACGCTACATAAATTCAAAATAATTATGAGCAAACAAATACAAATAATTGGTAAAACGATTGTTATACAATGTCTCTGAAACACTTTAAACAATGTTTCATGCCTTATTGTAAGAGAATACAGTGTTCAGTATGTGGAACAACATATATATGTTCCTGGTGACACTGTTCTTACCTTGTTCTTGATCATTTTAGCTCGTCTAGCAAACTGAAGTGTTGACAAAGTCTCCCCAAAATGCCTGCAGAAAAAATGAGTAATGCTATAAAAGTTATTCCTATTAAAACAAGCTTAATCCGAGTGATGTTATCTCCCATTATAATTTTGATTCCACAAAATACTTAATACCTGATTATTTGAAAGATCTCTTTTTAACTAAAAATAAAATTTAAACAAGAATCATACTGTATATATACATTATTATAACAAAGTCAGTGGAATGTAATGATAGTTGATGACAATACTGTCACCTTCATCAGACAAATGACCAGTGTGAAGAATGATAACACTGACATATGGAGTGTATGAGATGGTACAGAACTGACTGACTAAAATCCTCGTATGTACACTAAGGTAGAAAAAAGTGGTAAAAAGATTACAGATAAAAGCATACACAAGATGGTAACAATGTAATTCAGTCAATTTAGCTACACTGTTTTTTAACACTTAGTCATAGAAGTGCAAAAATCTGTGACATATTCAGAACATGTTCTCTTCAGATGTTTTATCCATAGGATAGTCTAGGATATTAAGGAGAGTCTACTCTTTAAAAGGTTTCGTGGCTGCTGCAATACAATGACAATCGTAAATCCATCAATTGGTTTCTGACTGGCCTTTGATGAAAGGGATGACCATTTGACCTTTTGTTTTCTCCTTTTTCTTCTTGTTTCGTCTCTGGTCTTTTCTCTACTTTCCCCAAATTCTTTATTTACTTTCTGGATTGCCCAGTCAGGGTATCAACATGTTTTCATGGAGCTATGGGTGAGATTTTACTCTTGCTTTTGGTGTTGTATGTCTTCTGTGACAATAATTGTTTATCTGCTCAGTAAAGTTTGTGGCGTACTTCTGGCTGGTGTAAGGGGTGGTGCGATCAGTGCATCCTACAGACCAATACTTCAACAGTACTATCATCTTTCTTTACTAAAAGCATGACATGGACTGACATAGTGCTATTGATTTCTTCTTCACAGGTGAATCTGATGCTGTTGATGATATCTGCGGTATTAATATGCACAGTTAAATCCTTCTGTGACCCTTTTTTGACCATTTCCAATATTTTATCAACATATCATTTCAAGAGACTGGACTTGCATTCTACGGGGACCATGGCTATAGCCTCTTTCTGAAAATGCTTCTTGAATAAGTTGGCCACAATTGAGACATTTTTCTATAATCTTTTTACTATCTTGTCGCACTGTTTTCTATGTTAGTGTACATAATATTACAGTACAGCAGAAAAATATGGCTGATTTCTTATCATCTCGTACACTACATACATCAGTACTAGTACGCTTGGCACTGGTCATTTGTCTGATGAAGGTGACCGTGTAGATCTTGTACACTACGTTCGTCAGTGCTAGTATGCTCCATACTGGCCATTTGTCTGATAAAAGTGACATTGTTTCCATCAAAACATCACACTTTAATCCGACATTACCAAACAAAACAAATGTTCCAGAAACATGATGTAATTACATCTGTGTACTTACCTCGAGTCTGGGTGAACACAGGCTATAATGCGGGTCTTGGCATTCCCTCCAAGTGAGTCCTGAATGATAAAATGCCATTATTTAAAACAACTAAAAATTCAGTTACCTTTTCTTTTTTTTTGTTCTAGTTTAACGACCTATAGGCAATTCAGGAACAAACAGTGAAACAAAGTTGAGTCATGTTGAAATGAAGTTTAGTATAGGTTACAAAGGGTCAGCCTATGAAAAAAAAACAAGAAATATGCATTCTTAATCCAGAATTAACTTTATGAAGTTGAAAAAATACTGAAAATTGGAAAAAATTAATTTTCAGTCACACGAGGAAAGAACCTATATTTCATGTTAAATGGTACTATTCAACGAAGGTGTGAACCAAATTTCAAGTCAATTAGACTTTCTAATCAACAAATAACACATTGTGCCATCAACTCACCCTCAGTAGGAATGTTAGCTTAGATTCCCGGTAGGGTATGTGACGCACCTTGTCATGTGCTACATCAACTAAAGACATGATACACTTGCCCAACACTGACAGAGATTTGTTGATGCTGCCAGCTTCCTGTAATATAAATCATAATTATGACAGAATGGTTCACTCTATCTAGTCTTGCCCAATCCCAAAACACAGTCAAAAAAGTTATACATACCCAAATTATTTAGGAATGGATAAAAGTGCCCTAGAAAAATGAGTTGTATGCTATAACCTCATCCAATACTTTCTACAGAACCTGATTCTAATCTTTGAAACTACAATTCGGTGTAGTCACTTTGGAAGAAAATAGAAGATTTTTGGTCATTTCATCTTAAACTTCGAGTTAAATGAAACACCAAAATTTTTCTCTTCATTCTGTATGCACAATTTTACATTTTTGATAATCAGTCTGTGAAATCAAGTGCCTAATCATAAGCCAAAGAATGTTCTATTTCTTTTTAGTTTCTAGGTAACATTTCACTGTGAACAGATGACATTATAACAAAAAGGAAAAGATGTCTCAACATACATGAAAAAAGTTTTTTTACTTTAAGCTCTTAAAATTTTTAAAAGAACCAAAGATCTGCTAAACAAATCCATTCAGTCAGGATTACATTAAATAAAACTGCTTCTAACATGTGTCAGTAACTACATGTTGTCTTTATTGAATTGAAAGAAAATGTGTTTGAAACGTGATATTACAATTAACATCAAGAAATAAGTGAGTCTTATGGATTAAATACACAATTGCTAAAACCCAGAAAATAGGGGGCTTATAAAACTTCTGAAGGTAGAAACAATTAAAAAAAACCATCAATGTGTCTGTCAACTGCTAAAGACAACTAATAATTCCATCAAGTCTTTGAATATCAGCAAAATCAAGTCTACTCATAACATACTAAAAAAAATAGCACTTGAAAGAGTAGATCAAGGTCTGCTGACACTTCTACCTAAATGTCTTGATTCTTAAATGACAGCGATCAAGATTGTTTTAGTACAAAGGCTTTACTTCCCACTTTTTGGAATGTGTATTGTACTCCACCTTATAACATCACCAAGCAGTAAAGGTACATATTTACTTTCAGTCTAAGCCCGTCAGCATTTGAATCTTTTTGTCGTTCACTCCCCGCCAGGTCAACAAGATTTAAAAGTGATTCCTTCAGCTTCTGTACACCAGACTTTTGTTCCTATTGGAAGATACACATGAAGACTGATTTAAAGATTTGATAACTACAACCATTATATGGAAGACATCAACCAGACATCACAGGTTTTGTCTTGTATCACAACCAAATTAGATTGCTTCCCTTTTGCTAAATTGTTCCAGTTTACCAAACTTTACCACTTTACCAAAATTAAGAAAAAAGAACATATTTCATTTTTTTATTGACATACAACACATGCTCAATTTTTCATTTCATAAAAGTGTTAACAGGCAGCTGTAATACTCTGGCATAAGTATGGATCATTCTTGCCCATGTTTGTTTCTTTGGCCAACATATCAACCTGATGTGAACACTTGTGATAAGCTTGCAACAAAATATAGAATATGTGTCTGGAATAACACAGTGAAAAATGTAAACCTCACATACAATAAACAAGTCTGCATTTGGTGACACTGAATGGTTGTATACCTCTTGAGAAAATGTACACTTACCTTTCACATCAAATGCCATCATTTACTATGGAAAAACCCACAAACTATCAACTTCAGACTTACTTTTGATTCTATAAATATTGTAAATACAGCATGACTCCTTGAGCTCTCTCTGTTCATGGAGGTGGAGGCTACTCTTCTGTTTCTCCATCCCTCATTCAAAACCTGGTAACAAAGTATTTTATCATTCCAACAATTTTTGTTAAATCAAAAGATCAAGAGAAATGAACGTGGACATGCAGAGTATAACTGTTTAAGTCTGTCTCCAATCTTACAATGATAACCCCATACAGCATGCATATCTCCACTTGATAGTCCAGTCAATGTATCAAAAGATCACATCATAGAGAATTTCTCAGAGAGAAAATAACAATAATCTTAACAAAACAGTATTGAAATTAAATCCTGTTCACAGTCAGCACTGATACCAAATATGGTCATATCTCTTTGAATTTTTAAAACATGATACCAAATATGGTGATATCTCTCTGAATTTTAAAACATGATACCAAATATAGTCATATCTCTCTGAATTTTAAAACAAGGCTTTTTATTTCTTTATCGTTTGTGCTCAACATTGAATCCACTTTGTCACATAATTATCACTATGAAATGAATCTGAAAGTCCTTTTATCTGAATGGAGGGATATTAACCTCTATTCTGTCCTATCAGGTGTCTGTCCTCTGGTGGGGCTAGACTTCCCTTTATGTTATATACTGAGTCCTCTTCACTTATGGTTGCTTTGGACCAAATTCAGTTAAAATCCTTCATTCAAACAAAGACTTCAAATGCTCTTTGTATTTACAGTTCCAAAATACCCCAACTTTTCAAAAACGAAAATCGTCTCTAAAAATAAATACTGAGTAGCTTTAATCAAAATATTCCAGTCTATTCGGAGATCCTTTTGAACAAAATGTTTCTGTAATATGTATACAGAAATGTTCACACACCACAAACTTCTCCAATGACTACTAGTGGTTATTACTAACATGAAGAATAACATTTATCCCACCTGGTAAGCTTCACTGGCACTGGTGACAGCCTTCTCCGCCAACCCGTCTACATACACACCTTTCTTCATACTCTCTCGTAACGAAAGGCTCATGGTCGATGGATCTAGCAGGTCATATACCTGCTCATGATAAATCTCCAGAAATGTGCACTTCATTAGGAACTCTTTTGCTTTGCCATGCTGGAAAAATACAGGGAAAAAAAATGTTTTGATTTCACTTCATTTCTTTGGAGAAGATATATCCCCCCTATTTGTTCAAGTTTTCTTCACTTTAAAAGAAAAACAAAAACAAAACAAGAGTACCGCAAAACGAACAAAATACGCCCGTGAATATTCAAATGAGCGAAGGGGCATAACTCTTATTCAAATCGTCTAATCAAAATCCCCTCCAGGAAAACACAATTTCATATCATGGTGATTAAGCCTACCAAGTTTCATAAAGATCGGCTCAAAAATGTTGGAGGAGATCTCCGGACAAGATTTCTATAGTGAAATAAACAAAGGGCCATAACTCTTGTTCAAATCACCAAATCAAAACCCTGTTCAGGAAAACACAACTTCATATCATGGTGATTAAGCCTACCAAGCTTCATAAAGATCGGCTGAAAAATGTAGGAGATCTCCTGACAAATAAAAGTTTACGACGGACGGACAGCGCCATACCATAATACGTCTGTCTTTTGTCGGGCGTATAAAAACCTGTAATTTACAGAATCAATCAACTTCACAATTTTGTTTGAAATACAAGTTCTTACTTTTAAGAAAAAAAAAATTATCCTTTTTATGGAATATGTACACCTTATCAGTAAAAGAGTGGCTGCTACGATACAGATATTAGGAAGGAGGAATAACTTGGAAAAGGCTTCAAACAAAGAAAATGGCTATCTCTATTGGATGTTTTGTGGAATTATGCCATGAATTTTATCTTTCAGTAACACTGTACAAAACATGTTTGCTTTTCAAGTACATGCCTTGTCACAACCCATTAAATTCTGATGTCTGGATCCCTCTGGCCCTGAATCTAGATTAAACAATTCTCAATGTCTGTATAACACTGGACAAAAGCAGTTTGCTATTTTACTGTCAGAGTACATCACAATGACACACATCCATACCAATTCCCTTACCAGTTCTTCTTCCCTGGATACCAGATTAAAATTCCCTTACCAGTTCTTCTTCCCTGGATACCAGATTAAAATTCCCTTACCAGTTCTTCTTCCCTGGATACCAGATTAAAATTCCCTTACCAGTTCTTCTTCCCTGGATACCAGATTAAAATTCCCTTACCAGTTCTTCTTCCCTGGATACCAGATTAAAATTCCCTTACCAGTTCTTCTTCCCTGGATACCAGATTAAAATTCCCTTACCAGTTCTTCTTCCCTGGATACCAGATTAAAATTCCCTTACCAGTTCTTCTTCCCTGGATACCAGATTAAAATTCCCTTACCAGTACTTCTTCCCTGGATACCAGATTAAAATTCCCTTACCAGTTCTTCTTCCCTGGATACCAGATTAAAATTCCCTTACCAGTTCTTCTTCCCTGGATACCAGATTAAAATTCCCTTACCAGTTCTTCTTCCCTGGATACCAGATTAAATAAGTATTCAAAACTTCTTGGTATTATTCCTCGATTTTTATGCTGAAAATTATCAGCATCTTCACTTGGTCCTGTAAAACAATTCATACAACAGAATTTACAGCACATGCAGTCTTTTTAACTAACAAATCTACAATTGACAAACTTTTCATGTTTACAGATATCTAGAACACAAGCTGAAAGAACTTGTGTTGATACAAATTAGATACAAATTACAGATGGCAAATCAACTTTCATGTTATTTTCTGTCTGTTAAGTGCCCCAAATTAAGATTGATAATGAACAATGATTGATAACATAGCATGATTCAGGAAGATCAGATTGCAACAAAATTGTGATGTATAAATCACATAACCTTGTAAAATTTTGGGTGTATAGTACATTTACTGTCACAACCTTTTAACATTCATACATAATAGGACACACATGGAATTTTTTTTTCGTTCTCAATGAAGCAATTTACATTGTAATGAAACAGGAAATGTTGACACTTTTATATTTTCAATGTACACCACAGTGAGGTTTAGATATTTTCACCTCCCAGGATATGGCTGTACTTACCCAACATGGTGAAAGTTTTTCCTGATCCAGTCTGGCCACTGAGAAAAAGAAAGCAATAAAATTACTTACATTGACAAAATGTATCTTTTGAATGACATCAACATACAAACAATTTCATGAATTTTAATAAAACCTTTGAGGCATCATTAATCTTTGTCATTTTACATGTACTTAATGAATACTTTAGGATTAGTATACATAACCATTAACATCTGGATCTTTTCATTTCTTAATTGAATCATTCGTAGATCAACTACATATTTATAACAGTGAAGGAGTTACCTATACAAAAACATTTCATTTTCAATTAAAAAGATAAATTTTAAAAGATATTCAATAAATTGTATACAAATGTCCTTATTATATTCTTTAATGGCATGGAATAATCTGCTGTAGTGCCTCCTGAACATCCACATATTTTAGTAGTGCATAATTCAACACTATGATAGTGACATCTGACCTCTGTCAGAGGTTTTCATAATGTTAGATCTTCTAATAATTTATATATTTATATCACATACAAGTGTCAGCAAATTATACATAGTGACTGTGTGTAGTGGTTAATATAGTATATACTTACTGTGTGTAGTGGTTAATATAGTATGTACTTACTGTGTGTAGTGGTTAATATAGTATATACTTACTGTGTGTAGTGGTTAATATAGTATGTAATTACTGTGTGTAGTGGTTAATATAGTATGTACTTACTGTGTGTAGTGGTTAATATAGTATGTACATACTGTGTGTAGTGGTTAATATAGTATGTAATTACTGTGTGTAGTGGTTAACATAGTATATACTTACTGTGTGTAGTGGTTAATATAGTATGTACTTACTGTGTGTAGTGGTTAATATAGTATGTACTTACTGTGTGTAGTGGTTAATATAGTATGTACTTACTGTGTGTAGTGGTTAATATAGTACGTACTTACTGTGTGTAGTGGTTAATATAGTATACACTTACTGTGTGTAGTGGTTAATATAGTATGTACATACTGTGTGTAGTGGTTAATATGGTATATACTTACTGTGGGTAGTGTTTAATATAGTATGTACTTACTGTGTGTAGTGGTCAATATAGTATGTACATACTGTGTGTAGTGGTTAATATAGTATGTACTTACTGTGTGTTGTGGTAAATATAGTATGTACTTACTGTGTGTAGTGGTTAATATAGTATGTACATACTGTGTGTAGTGGTTAATATAGTATGTACTTACTGTGTGTTGTAATTAATATAGTAAATACTTACTGTGTGTTGTGGTTAATATAGTATGTACATACTGTGTGTAGTGGTTAATATAGTATGTACTTACTGTGTGTAGTGGTTAATATAGTATACAATTACTGTGTTTAGTGGTTAATATAGTATGTACTTACTGTGAATAGTGGTTAACATAGTATGTACATACTGTGTGTAGTGGTTAATATAGTGTGTACTTACTGTGTGTAGTGGTTAATATAGTATGTACATACTGTGTGTAGTGGTTAATATAGTATGTACTTACTGTGTGTTGTAATTAATATAGTATATACTTACTGTGTGTTGTGGTTAATATAGTATGTACATACTGTGTGTAGTGGTTAATATAGTATGTACATACTGTGTGTAGTGGTTAATATAGTATACAATTACTGTGTTTAGTGGTTAATATAGTATGTACTTACTGTGAATAGTGGTTAACATAGTATGTACTTACTGTGTGTAGTGGTTAATATAGTATACACTTACTGTGTGTAGTGGTTAATATAGTATGTACTTACTGTGTGTAGTGGTTAATATAGTATGTACTTACTGTATGTGTAGTGGTTAATATAGTATGTACTTACTGTATGTAGTGATTAATATAGTTTGTTATTTATGTATGTGTAGTGGTTAATATAGTATGTACTTACTGTGTGTAGTGGTTAATATAGTATGTACTTACTGTGTGTAGTGGTTAATATAGTAGTATTACTGTGTGTAGTGGTTAATATAGTATACAATTACTGTGTTTAGTGGTTAATATAGTGTAGTGGTTGGTTAATTACTGTATGTGTAGTGGTTAATATAGTATGTACTTACTGTGTGTAGTGGTTAATATAGTATGTACTTACTGTGTGTAGTGGTTAATATAGTATGTAATTACTGTATGTGTAGTGGTTAATATAGTATGTAATTACTGTATGTGTAGTGGTTAATATAGTATGTACTTACTGTATGTGTAGTGGTTAATATAGTATGTACTTACTGTGTGTAGTGGTTAATATAGTATGTACTTACTGTGTGTAGTGGTTAATATAGTATGTACTTACTGTGTGTAGTGGTTAATATAGTATGTACTTACTGTGTGTAGTGGTTAATATAGTATGTACTTACTGTGTGTAGTGGTTAATATAGTATGTAATTACTGTATGTGTAGTGGTTAATATAGTATGTAATTACTGTATGTGTAGTGGTTAATATAGTATGTACTTACTGTGTGTAGTGGTTAATATAGTATGTACATACTGTGTGTAGTGGTTAATATAGTATGTACTTACTGTGTGTAGTGGTTAATATAGTATGTAATTACTGTATGTAGTGGTTAATATAGTATGTAATTACTGTATGTGTAGTGGTTAATATAGTATGTAATTACTGTATGTGTAGTGGTTAATATAGTATGTACTTACTGTGTGTAGTGGTTAATATAGTATGTACTTACTGTGTGTAGTGGTTAATATAGTATGTAATTACTGTATGTGTAGTGGTTAATATAGTATGTACTTACTGTGTGTAGTGGTTAATATAGTATGTACTTACTGTGTGTAGTGGTTAATATAGTATGTAATTACTGTATGTGTAGTGGTTAATATAGTATGTACTTACTGTGTGTAGTGGTTAATATAGTATGTACTTACTAAGCAAATATTGTGCCATTGTAACCACTGACACAGCTTTCTATTAATGTCTTTGCTACAGTTGAAAAAACTGCTTCCTGAAAATAAAACATGAAAGAAAAACTACCAAGTGGAAAATTTGTTATAAAAATCATGAGAAATGCTGGAATCACATGACAATACTTTAGATCAGTATTTAAAAGTTTCAAATTCAATTTTTGAATCTAATATAGTCTCATCAATCAACACAATATCAGACTTGAAAACCCAAACAATGAAATCAGCATCTTCATAACTTTATTACATAATTTATATATATATATATATGAGTCCTGAGCTCCTGCTTTTCCTGTTGGACTCTATAAATTGTGAGAGCTCACTATATCCCTTTGTAGTTCAAATTATTTTAGCCTTTGATTGACTTATATATATCAGCTTGGAGTAGAATGTCAGGACAATGTCACTATAAAGGGTGAGGGAAATAAGTGATCCGTGCATTGATGGCGATCAAATGATAATTGTGGAAAGAAATTAAGCTGAAAGCATGTGTTTATATTTGCAAGGGTTATTTTTGTAATATAACATACTTCATTACTTTTTGGGAAATACCTCAGATATGGCAGGATATCATTAAGTAGACATGGTTGTGTTCCTGTCCTTATTTCCATAAAAAATGGGAAGATACAGAAAAAAATTCAGATATGTGATGGTTTCTCATCTCCTAGACTCTGCCATCGCCGGGCATAGTCCAATCGACGTGTGTCAATTTTTTGGCGACGTGAGGGGTGTACTACCTTCATGGGTTGGAGTCGTCTGGGGGTTGACTGGTATGTAATTTGGAGTTGACTCTCTGGTCTAAAGGTAATTTTGTGGTGAGGTGTCTGGACTTCCAGCAGTAAAGGGGGTCCTTGTCTTCTTTTCCTGCCAAATCTTCAGGCTTTTTAATTTTTTGATTATGTGAAATTTAGAAGTCCTTTCCTAATAGAATAAAAATTACATTAGGCCGAATGTTGTTATGTATAATTAGAGCTTATTCGGGCTCCTGGGCGGCGGTAAGCACCTACTCTTATTATCAATAACTGCAGGAGGATCTTTCTCATGTGAGGTTGAACAATTCTCACACAGGCCACCTTTTAAAGTCCCATCCGCCGGAGTATATACACTAAACTTTGATCTTGGTATCAGCTTGTAATTAGACCTTTCAATTCATGTGAGGTATACATTTGAAAATGATGATTCTTTCCACAATTATCGTTTGTATATTGACTTTTTAATAGGGATAGCATTCTGACATTCAGCAACTCCAATTTATAAAAAAGTTGATAGAACATAACGCAATTTGGTCTGACCTCTCTGAAACTGGACTCGCAAAAATTTAAGAAAAGGTCCTCTAGATCTGCCCTCTCTAGAAGAAAAATCCTACAAAAATTGCTGACAGTAATATTAAAACACACCAGAGAAATCTCAGAAGTGTTTAGGTGTATTCAGGAGTGGACCAAATACTGAGAACAGGACTGCTTAATTACCTGCTGTGCATTGATATTAACAACCTGATCAAATGTGAAGATTTTGGATACAGGTTTTGTTTGTACAACAACTGCACATCCAGTCTGATCAACTTCAACACTCTGCTGGTGGCCAGAATCTCCCTGAGCAGGTGGACGTATTCTCACAAACACTTTAATGGCATCTCCATCACTGTAATAAAACTTCATGTATTTCATACACAGTGCAGAATAAGATATGTTTGATATCTTTGATTTATATGTATAGAATGTAATAGTGACAACTGACATAACATCCCCTTGTAATCCTGTTATTTACTGTTTCATTACTTACAATACCTGTAACACCTACAGTTCTAGCTGTAATGATGAGGTTCTAACAACGTCATCGATCCAGGAGAAACACATGGTACATCAAGCCGAATAACAGTTGTTTAATACAATGGTATCGTGATCTAAATAATATCAAAGAAATAAATATTCGTAAAAAGTTTTGTGTTATATTGTGGTAGACCAGTAGCCACAGATTTTAAGTGTGTTCTTTCTGGTCATTCTTACCTTCCCGTTCCTCCACTTGCATTTGAACCATCTGTAAATAAAATGTAATTTCGTGATTATCAAATTTATCGGGGATAATAAATACATTATGGTAATAAAAAAAGAACTGTTAAACAATACAGCACAATATTTTGTATACCTGTCACTTTAATTGCTGAACATATTTTATTTGCAGTTTCTTGTGATTAACATTCACTGACCAGAGTATGATGGTTGGTTCAGGAATAATAAAAAATCTTTTTCGTTGTAGTAGTATTTGACAATATATTCTCTCCAATGTATTATCTAGGTTAGTATTGTTTTCTGTTCCCAGAGATCTAGAGCCCTGTTTTGGTAATGTAACTTCTATGTTGGAAATGTTAGTGAAATCAAACTAGACTCCAATCAAGACATTTCTTTTGATCCTCAGGATACAGTGGATTTGGGTGATCTATGTAACTAGTCTGACCAATCAGATGATTTGCTGATAACTAGATATTGGCCAGTATGTAGTTTCAGGTGTGATATATATCTACTTATTCCCGAAGGCTCTGTCTGTCTGAAATTGAATGTAACAAAAAAAGTGGATAAATTGTCATAAATATATGGTAATCAGTTGTATATATCCTCCAACACAGCACAGAAATCGGACAGTCTTCATGCATATAGAGAACTCCCTATTCTTGTGCTCACAGCCACTGAATGCGTTTGTCAATACACTCATACTTATAATGAGTGTGTTGACAGACAATGCAGACCTATGAAGATATGTCCGACTGTATTTGTTGGTTTATTTTCACTTCATTCTGTTTAGGTTTAGTAACAAGGCATACACTTTGAACGTGGTTAAAGCGAGGAGGATGTCACTAAAGTGAAAGGGGACATGCATATGTTGACCACTATCAGCAGTCACCTTCATCTGTTATCACGGTACGGAAATTATCGAATTCTATGTGTGTGGAACTGATTCACTTCTGTCCTTTATTTATGTATATCGATCTGGTGTGTAAAAGGATACGGCACGTAATGTTGCAAAGTTGCAAAAGACAAGTCTCAATTTCCATTGGCATTTCGGCCGAAGTAGACAGCTGATAGATGCATTCGTATTGTCAACTTGACATTTAGTAATCGTCTAGGACCATTCATATTGGGTGATGTCAAACTCAAGCATAAATATTTCACATACAAATGTTAATTTTTACTACTTTCAAAGCTACAGTCAAGTCTGAAAGTTACACACGTCGATCGTAACTTACCAGCAGTCATGGTTGATACCTGTCTAATGATCCCGCAATATTTGTCGTTTCGAAAACTGGCGCTAACGAGATTCTCGCGAACAACGAGATTACAACAGATAACAATTCTCTACGGTACTCTACTTTCTCAACTTCCAATGCAGACGCATCCTTACAATTCAATCATAATACAGTTACGATTAACATATCACCTTGTCAAAAGCATACCTATAATTTCGCAAATCATTTCAGTAAATAGAGGGTGTCGGTAAAAATAATACCTTACGTCACAAAAGGAATTTCCGTTATTGATATAAATAAACACACATAGACTGGGACTCCCGTACGTCAGTATAAGTAATAGAATGAAACACTGTTTGATTATTTGCGATATTTATATATAGAATACGAGACATTTGTGATAATTACGACAGATTTTGTTATAAACATGATGAAATGGATGCGAGGTATGGTGACGAGATCGTTACAGTGTGGTCATCTGAGACTGTGGAAGATGTTCTGCAACAACCCCGTTACGAACGAGGACTTAATAGCGGCTCATACAATTTGGGACTATATGAAACTAAATCACACTCTCAATAAGGTAGGAAGGCGAGTTTTCTTTTTGCATTAATTAATTAGTATAGTGTTCGTTTGTCGTGCCATCAAAACCTAAGTAATTATTATTGTCTTTATTTCCTCCAAAGATGAAGAGCATTACATACGAATTACAAAATAAATCAACTTGAAAAGCATACAATTAAGGTGGAAATTAATGCAGATGTTACAAATTATGATTATACATACAATATGTTAGTTTTATGTAATTTATACTCCGTGAAGAATTATCTTGCAAGTTATAATGTTATGAAATAATTACATACTAAGTATATATGTCACAATAATAGGTTTTAAGTGTACATAATACAGAAGGCCTCCTGGCGCACTATACATAGCCATATAGTTCAAGCATCCTTTTTATAGAACATGCTGACTTCAGTCTAAATTGTTTAAAATCATGTTTGTCTAACTGATAGGCCAGAGGACCTCCTAGTAAAATGTGAAGCAATATATAATCTGGCAACGATTGTAAGTATGAAATAAATTCAATACTCGAAATAGACACAATTGCGTACCATAAATCGTTACGTACAATTTCAGTTAATGAACAATGTAGAATTGCACGATTCACAATATCTGTATAAAAATATCCACAAAAATGACACAAAAATTGTGTATTTGAGTTTCGTATGGAAACAATAAGTTTGATTACATAACGGATATTATCGAGAGAACTAGGGTGATACAGAGCTAGTTTCCACAGCATCCCTGTTATAATATACTCTGCAGCGTATTCCACTGATTGTGTCAGTCAGAAAATCATAATTGTGATGTCTTAATTAATCAACAGTGACGTTACGTCATGAATTGTCACGGTGTAATAAAAGAGCTGCCCCGCTTGATACCATCCGGCTTCACATTTTGTACTTAAAAACCTGTCAAAATGTAACTTTTTTTCAGTTATGTAATTAAAAACATCTTCAATTTGCCTCTAGATTTTAATGTTTGCTTACCGAGGCTCACGAAAATAATAAAAATAAAAATTCTAAGGGCTATTTCACAAACTCTAATGGAACGGAATCTCATTTAAAATCCTATATACAAATATTCCAGATTTACCCACTCCACGTGGATACAAATATTCTAGATTTACCCACTCCACGTGGATACAAATATTCTAGATTTACCCACTCCACGTGGATACAAATATTCTAGATTTACCCACTCCACGTGGATAAAAACTTCTTTCACTGCACGTTTATTAGTGCAATAAAAATATTTGAAGCATGTTAGGCGTTATTAATGACTTATATCAACATACTTTTTTAAAAGTTCTTTTGATATTTCTTTTTACCTTATTGTCATACCTCGGGGTTGTTTGTAGATGGTTTTTACCGAACCACTTAGAAACACGAGATATGAAACCTTCTCTGTTAATATCAAATCAAATTAATTATTATAAAGATGCTTTTAGTTTTCACATACTACTTATCTAATATGCCAAAAAAAATTCTTACTAGTTATTTTACTTTGGTTTGTAAGTTTTTTTAGAGAACACTTAATTCTGTATCTGGTTTTACGGATCAGTAAAGAAAATATAAAAACATATTTTTGATTAATCGGTACTTTTAACATAATCAAAATGAAACTGTCGTGATCTTTGAAACATAAACGTTTGGAAATGAGCAATGCATTTTAGAAATTGAGGAAAGTAAAGTCGAAAGTCTCCCATTAAAGTTTTAATGGATTTTTGTACGTGTTAAATCTCTCCTGAAGTGGGAAAATATCTAGAATAAAGATGAATCGTGTACAAGATGGACTGAAAGGTGAGACTGAGAGGTTTTCTTTTTACTTTAATTTCCTATTTGATTTTTTTTATCTCATTTTCTCCAGAGTGATATCATACTTGTTTTGGGAAACCATGACAAGAGGACAGCTGATTATGCATCTGACCTCTACCTGAATGGAAACGCAGACTGGCTCATGTTTTCGGGAAAAGTCGGCGTTCTCACACAAGGTAACCGTCGGTCATTGATGGTTTTTATCCTAATAGTTGACGTAAAACCCGTTAAATAAATAACTGATTATATTTTCTTGTCTTTTAATCCCCAATTTCTAAGAAACCATGTATATGTTTGTGTGTCACATTTCGGTATAGTGTGATAAATCTAGATCTAAATTTGATATAGAAACTGTCTGGTAAGCTGACTGACACCAGTCTTGTTTTTTCAGCATTAAGGTTTTCTTACATTTTTTTTTCTTTTTTTTTTTTTGGGGGGGGGGGGTCTTTTCTGCCCAAACCGACAACTATCCGTAGTAAAAGTTTAATTGATGAACACAAGAACGCAGGATTCATCAAATTGATTCCTATAAATTCAGCTTCATTTTGAGTTTAGCTTGTTCTGTGTTAGATATTAGGCCCCCCCCCCTAATTCGTTACCGGGTATATCAAATAACATGCATTCTTGTTTCAAGTCAAACAAATTATTTACGAAGCGGGAAAATGGAGTCCTGTGAAGTTGCTTATCACTTTTTACATTGTACACTTTAAACATGAAAGACATTATCCTCAGTGTATTTCGCGACACATCTACTTATCATACATTTTTAGCCCATCATCTGATGGTTGGCTTTACGAATCGTCTTGCGTCCTCGGTCTGTCATCCGTCCGTCCGTAAACAATTTTTGTCATCGCTATTTCTTGAGAAGTACTGGATGGGTCCTTCCCAAATTGCATTTGTAGGTTTCCCTCGGTTCCTGGTTGTGCCTGTTTAATTTTGGGACTGATCAAATATACAAAATGATCGAAAGGTGGCCATCTTGGATTTTTTCAATAAAGTTTGTTATTGCTATTTCTTGAAAAGTGCTGAATGGATCTCCCATGTGCTCATATAATTTTGGGATTGATCAGAAAAAGAAAATGGCCGACAGACGGCCATCTTTGATTTTGACTTCGCAAGTTTGTTATCATATTTCTTGAGAAGTGCTTAATGGATATTTCGTAAATTTCATGTAGAGGTCCCTCTTGGTCCCTGGTTGAGCCCATCTAATTTTGGAACTGATAAGAAAAACAAAGTGGCCGACAGACGGCCATCTTGGATTTCGACTTCAAAAGTGTGTTATCGCTATCTCTTGAGAAGTACTTGGTGGATCTTTCATAATGTCACGTATAGGTCCGTCTTGGTCCTTAGTTGTGCCTGTTTGAGTTTGATCGGAAAAACAAAATGGCAGCCATCTTAGATTTCGCCTAGGACATATTGTTATCCCAATTTTTTACTGAATGAATATCTTTCAAATTTTATATATATGTTCTCTTTGATCTACCCATGTGCTCGTTTGCTTTTGGGTCTGATCAGAAGAAACAAAATTGCTCCCAGGCGGCCATTTTGAATTTGGTAGGTAAAGATTATCATAGCAATTTCTGCAAAGTAATGTTCACATGTCTTATCATTAAGAGCAAAAGCAGAGTAGAGAAAAGATCCAACTTTCAAAGAGGAAATAAAGATCAAACTATGATAGGCGCCTACATCCTTCTGGTTTACTTATTAATCAGTAATTAATGCAATTACCGTTTCTGGGAATGTTGTAGGTAAATGGAGGAAGACAGAAGCGGAGATATTTAGAGATATAGCGTTGTCTAAAGGCGTCCCAAAAGACCGCATTCTTCTGGAATTACAAGCCACAAATACTGGAGAAAACGTTACATTCTCATACGATGTGTTGGAGGCTAACAACCTACTGGACAGTCTAAGGAGTATGATTTTAGTTCAAATGCCACACATGGAAAGACGAGTGTATGCTACGTTTATGAAACAATGGCCAGGGGATCCGACGAAGATAAACCTCACAGTGGCGTCACCGCCAATACCGTTATGTAAATACCCGAATCCTGACGTCGGGTCGCTCAAATTTGTGATAACTGTGATGATGGGGTGTCTTTATAGGATAAAAGTTTATCCGGATGCAGGATATCAGATTTATCAGTATATACCAGGTGATGTATGGGACAGCTACCTTAGACTTCTCCGTTCAGGTAAATACAGTGGACACATACCTGGATGACCTAAAACAATAAGAGCTAAATGCTGACATTTGTTTTGGCGACGAGAGGTAATTACAGCCGACACCTAACTCAGCAGACTCGACTTGTATCCTCTGAGAACGACTTATTTCAACGACGCAGAAGAAATTTCAGCATAAACCAACTTTCTTTAACGGCCAACGTGTACGATTTGCACCGGAACAATTTTGCGACGATTTCTTTCGGGGAACTAGAATATACAATGTATATATTTATTGTTTAATAGTACTGTTAGTCTGTCGCTACGATCATGAGTCTGACTTATACATATCTGTTGCTCAACCTGACAAATGACATGCTTCAGCTACCGATCACATGTATTATTACGGAGGTATCGAGTGACACAAAAGTAACTATTGGTATTTTGCATGCAAATTTTGTTGCTACTTCGTAACGAGCGGCAGATGAAAATCGTCTACTCAAACAATACCACAGTGCATGTGACGAAATCCAACGGACATAACTAGTGCGGACGTGGTACTTGTTATCAGTAGCTAAGCCGTGTGATATGGACAAACAACATCATTCCATGATAACTAGCAGACGGACGTACACTATCATTCCATGATTAGTGACAGACGGACGTACAATATCATTCCATGATTAGTGACAGACGGACGCACAATATCATTGCATGATTAGTGACAGACGGACGTACAACAACATTGCATGATTAGTGACAGACGGACGTACAATATCATTGCATGATTAGTGACAGACGGACGTACAATATCATTGCATGATTAGTGACAGACGGACGTACAATATCATTCCATGATTAGTGACAGACGGACGTACAATATCATTCCATGATTAGTGACAGACGGACGTACAATATCATTTAATGATAATTAGCAGACGGACGTACAATATCATTCTATGATTAGTGACAAACGGACGCACAATATCATTCTATGATTAGTTACAGACGGGCATACAATATCATTCCATGATAAGTGACAGACGGATGTACAATATCATTCCATGATTAGTGACAGACGGACGTACAATATCATTCAATGATAAGTAGCAGACGGACGTACAATATCATTCCATGATTAGTGTCAGACGGACGCACAATATCATTCAATGATAAGTAGCAGACGGACGTACAATATCATTCCATGATTAGTGTCAGACGGACGCACAATATCATTCAATGATAAGTAGCAGACGGACGTACAACATCAGTCCATGATAAGTAACAGACGGACGTAGAACATCAGTCCATGATTAGTGACAAACGGACGTACAATATCATTCAATGATAAGTAGCAGACGGACGTACAATATCATTCCATGATTAGTGTCAGACGGACGCACAATATCATTCAATGATAAGTAGCAGACGGACGTACAATATCATTCAAAGATAAGTAGCAGACGGGCGTACAACATCATTCCATGATTAGTTACAGACGGACGTACAACATCATTCCATGATTTGTGACAGACGGACGTACAACATCATTCCATGATAAGTAACAGACGGACGTACAACATCATTCCATGATAAGTAACAGACGGACGCACAATATCAATTCATGGTAGGTATCCGATGGACCTGTAATAACATTCCATGAGAAATAAAATCCGAATTCAACCTAAAATGGGCTTAAAATTGCTTTTCTTCTGAAAACATGAAAGCATGTATGTAGAGAAAAACGTGTCAAAGGTCACCGACCTGTTATTTTGGCATAGGTACGTTGTGAATTTCCCGATTTCAATAGGTACGTTGTGGATTTCCCGATTTCAATAGGTACGTTGTGGATTTCCCGATTTCAATAGGTACGTTGCTGATTTCCCGATTTCAATAGGTACGTTGTGAATTTCCCGATTTCAACAGGTACGTTATGGATTTCTCCCAATTGAATATTACAGAAAATCTTTTGACAAAGATGATGGAAGTCACACATCTGAATTATTGTGTAACTGGAGAAGCTTAAAGGGAAACTACTATATCCACCAACGAACCAATCCCAGAAGTCAATGACAACAATGATCGGTTTGAATATGCTTGTTTAGAGACGACGCAGAGAAGAAGGCAATTCGTATCTGAAGAGAGCAAGGACAACAAAGCCCAAGCTAATGATATACAGGTTGTAATGCCACACCTAGAAGCCAATGGGTTGCCTCTCTCGAAGACACATGGCCGCCTAATCGTCACAATACATCATTGTGTTATTATCGGGTTACTGCTGATTATGTATACATATTCAACACAAATATAGTCCAAACCAGCAAGTTAGCTATGCGCAAATGAAACAATACATGTGAAATTAAAACTAAATTAAACAGTTTTCAGTGTCTAAAGGCGTGAACTTAGTGTAACAGCCAATAACAAGGACTTTAAATCACGCATATGAAATTATTCGAAAGGAAACTACCGATGGTTACTGACCTATGGTTACTGACCCGATGGTTACTGATACGTTGAGGTAAAGTAAATTGAATGCAGGCTGTATTTACTACAGACACTGTAGTATTAAGACCCTGGCACCCCTAACTACATCCGACATGAGAATATTAAGGGGACAAAACCGAAGACTCGAGGCTTTCTTGGCAGATCAGTTTTCGTTGTATGAAGACTCTAGGCTGTCTTGACAAAGCAGTTTTCGTTGTATGAAGACTCTAGGCTGTCTTGACAAAGCACTTTTCGTTGTATGAAGACTCTAGGCTGTCTTGACAAAGCAGTTTTCGTTGTATGAAGACTCTAGGCTGTCTTGGCAAACCACTTTTCGTTGTATGAAGACTCTAGGCTGTCTTGGCAAAGCAGTTTTCGTTGTATGAAGACTCTAGGCTGTCTTGACAAAGCAGTTTTCGTTGTATGAAGACTCTAGGCTGTCTTGACAAAGCAGTTTTCGTTGTATGAAGACTCTAGGCTGTCTTGGCAAACCACTTTTCGTTGTATGAAGACTCTAGGCTGTCTTGGCAAAGCAGTTTTCGTTGTATGAAGACGTGTCTTGGCAAACCACTTTTCGTTGTATGAAGACTCCAGGCTGTCTTGGCAAACCACTTTTCGTTGTATGAAGACTCTAGGCTGTCTTGGCAAAGCAGTTTTCGTTGTATGAAGACTCTAGGCTGTCTTGGCAAACCACTTTTCGTTGTATGAAGACTCTAGGCTGTCTTGGCAAAGCAGTTTTCGTTGTATGAAGACTCTAGGCTGTCTTGACAAAGCAGTTTTCGTTGTATGAAGACTCTAGGCTGTCTTGACAAAGCAGTTTTCGTTGTATGAAGACTCTAGGCTGTCTTGGCAAACCACTTTTCGTTGTATGAAGACTCTAGGCTGTCTTGGCAAAGCAGTTTTCGTTGTATGAAGACTCCAGGCTGTCTTGGCAAACCACTTTTCGTTGTATGAAGACTCTAGGCTGTCTTGGCAAAGCAGTTTTCGTTGTATGAAGACTCAAGGCTGTCTTGACAAAAGCAGTTTTCGTTGTATGAAGACTCTAGGCTGTCTTGACAAAAGCAGTTTTCGTTGTATGAAGACTCTAGGCTGTCTTGACAAAGGCAGTTTTCGTTGCACACTAGTGTACCTCCCCGTTAGAAGTTTGACATTTCTTTCCTTTCATTGGATTTTCTTAAACTTTACACCTTAGTAGCACTGACGAGGCCTTGAAGAACGAAACAGATGTATGAAACTCATCAATTCATTTTCTAACTCCACTGGCCTAAATCTATATTGAACATGCTATTCTCTTGTGTCTTTATACAATCTTTGACAAGATGGCTTTGGATGTTGTGACTACAGAAAATAACGATGCTGTCCTTTTAGTGTTTATTTGTTAAATGGCCAACTACGACTAGGCAATGTCATACTGGAACCAGGAATTTTCAGTCAAGTGAATATACCTTGTACATATGCCAGTTCTCCAGCAATTTGGTTGATAACGGCATCGCACGCAATAGGCTAATGGAAAGCAGGACCCGTGTGTTTTGATGGTGTCTGGCGGGTAAGTGACATCTTAAGTAATATCTTTGGGACATATTTTAAAATCGTTAGTATTCATGAATACATGTACATGAAAAAAAACATTGATAGAAATCCAACTTTTAAAACGCGATTATAAAAAAAAGTTCACGCTTGCCACACGAACGTTGGATAATAATATGACACAGTAAGATACATTTATGTCTGATAATGTTTGACGGGTTCGTCTGTTCGTGCTAAAACATTTACAAATCCGGCTGAACAGAGATTGGTTTGTTTGCTCTGTAAATGTTTCCTATTGGCTGATATGTACGTGTATTTAAACAAAATCTACCAAAGTCAACTCTTTCGTATGAGGAAACAAGGGTTATTGCTTGCTGAATCAGGTTAGAAGTGTGATATCTACCTGTTGTGTAACCAATCACTATATTCTGCAGATTAGCCAAACAATATGTACGGACTATTGTATTTGAAAATATTGCTAAAAGGCATAAGAGTGTTTGTTTTATGTTAAAAACCGAATGTAATGTTAACAAACATCAATATCATTACCTACCTGGCATAAATACAGTGAAACAAACTATGTGACCTTAATCTTCTTCAATGAATTTATTTGGCTTTCGCACATTCAAATTGGGGATCCTTCAAAGTTTGTCATAGGACTAATTTGCGATATGTTATTTTACGTTTCCTTTCAATAATATAAAAATGCTATGTATCACACTCATTAACGTATTTGCTTAGCCTGTTAGCAGAAATGCTTACTTGCTTGAGATACATGTATATAAAAATAATGGATGTTTTCAGAATAATAAAAAACTTACCTTATGGAAATAGGACATACCGTCGAAAATTTACATGATTTTGAACAAAGGAAATATTAATGTATCTTTGGTATTCTATCCGATTAGCGAATGTTTCGGCAGGAGTTACCTCTATAACAAAGTCGGTTTGATTAATAAGAATCAAAATTTAAATCATTTTGAATCCAAATAGATTCAAAAAGAACAGATTTTGCCTTCCAGGTACAGCATGAGAGGACACAAAAATGTTTTACAACAAATGAATGCACGAAAAACAGCGAGAAAATACCAACATTTCAACATAATCATTAGAGCTTAATATGAACAAAAGAAAGATTTACACAGAGACTCTTGGAAAAGAATAAGACCAGGTGTTCCGGAAGAGTAAGTGGCATACTAACG